TAGAGAATCAAGACAGGTGGGCACTCTCATAATTGAAGCCTTCTTTGGTGGAAAGTAATTGTAGGCTCCACAACCCTTGTCGTCGTTCCTATTGTTTGTTCTTTGCCGATAAGGGTCGACAGTTTGCGAGAGGAAGATGAAGAGAGTGGAATGGGACGTATTTTGGGAGAAGGGTTTTAAGATGGTTTCTTTTTTCCTTTTTTGCGTATAGATAGGGAAAATAATTAGATGACTCAACCGTCTAGGTGGCGAGTTGTTTGCTGATTTGGCATCTTTTTTCCCCTCTGTTAGTTTAACGGGCGAAAACAAAAAAATGCACATTTAGTGGACTTACATGGTATCAGGTGCACTAAATTTAGTTTAGTGGTATCCTTCCCCCAATTGTCAAAGTTTAGTGGCATGGGATGTATTTCTCCCCCCAAGATTTATATGGGCCTGGCAAATAAATGGAACGACATCCAATACGTCGTTCTGCGAACAAACATGTTTTGCATTCTCTTTTCATTTTTGTGGATCAATCATTAGACCTGTAAAATTTTCGTTGAAAAACATGGGAAGAACGCCAAGAACTACCATTAAAATTCCAAATTCAAAGTGGGGCTTAGTTTTGTAAGATTTTGACCCTATTTATGAGTTATGGGGATTCCATAAATATTTCATTCCAAAAAAAGAGCAAGTTCGAAACAATTGGGATTGAAAATACAGTATAAAACATATATTGGCCATTTCTCTGACTCATAGACAAAGTCCCAGATGTGACTCGTGGTCAAAGTCCCAGGGATAGCAAGATGGTTCCTCTGCCTCTCTCTATCCATCCCAAAAAAAAATCGACTGAAAGAGCACAGGAGCAATGCGAGCAGGTTAAATGAATGGCCGAAAATATAAGAACTACGTGGTTTTTAACCTACCATTGTCCTTCTCAGTATCGTCCATTCCTTTCTCCCTTCAGCCTATATCTGAGGAGTGAGGATGCACAGTCTCCCAAGAGCCCCTCAAAAACCGAGAAGGCAAAAAATTGAAAAACAAAAAATATATATATCTAGTGTCTAGTCTCCATAAGCAACCCTTCGTTCCTCTGCCAACCCCTAGTCCCCTATACAGTGTGAGGAATAAGGCAATTACGTGTCTGAATCAGCAAACCTTCCTTCTCTATAGTTCTCCACATGAAAGGAATAAAACAAAGACTTGTCTCCATCAGCAACCTCCCTTCCTCTCATGATCTCTACAGTTTAGACAAAAGGCAAAATCCAGTTACAAAGAAACTCAAAGATACCCTGCGACTGACACGCCAAAACACAACACCAATCTGCGACCAAGTGTAATCGCAGACCGGGAATGCAGTAAAGTGACAAGTAATATTATCAACCCGGGGTCTAGGTCTACTGCTTACTCAGTGATTCTCTATTATCTAGCCAACTAAAGTAAATGATTGTTGTTTAAAAGCAAAAGCAGAAAGAAAGCAGGAATTGATACGGTTTTCTCAAGCAGGAAAGAGTCACTCGGGAATGAGTCCCCCTAGCTCCTTAGTTAGGTTTCAATTGTATTTCCCTGGGTTGATTTACTGTTGATTAGACTGCGGAAGATCCGACAGTAGCTTGGAATCTCTTAAGCTGACCAAGCCCTCTCAGTCTAACTACCCGGCAGACGACTAGTCTTCACCGGGATAGAAAGCTGAAGCAGTAAGAACAAAACTCCACTACTGGAATTGGATTCCAGTACAAAGCAGTAAACTGGCTAACTCTCGTATAGCCAATCTCCTACTATCGAATGATGAGACTCTAGCAACCTAATCAGATTCTATCTATCTCAGATTGCAGCAGGAATCAGGAAAAGTTGATCAGACTTTAATTGACTCAATAAACATGCATCATTCGATTAAAATCAAACAGTAATATCATCCCAAGTCATTACAATCAATCCCTAACACATAGAACTAGGGTTCTTCATCCCCAAGTGAGAGAGGGGTTCTACTCCATAGAGAGAGAGGAAAACAAGATACAAAGCAGTCATACTCATGATTATGGGAAGAATCTGCTCTGGGATGATGATTTCCACTCCTATGACGATCTCCAAGCTTGATTTGATGAAACCCAGCTCCAAGATAGCTCCTAGGATGTGTTCTTCGTCCTTTCTCTCTCTAGGGCTCTGTTTTTGCTCAAAAAGTTCGATCCTCTCTCTTGCAGCCCGGAATTGGGTTAAAACCAGGAATTCCCGACTCACACGGGCAGGGCCACACGGCCGTGTGGCATACCCAGTTGCCCGTGTGAGTCAAAACGCTGCGTTCCAATTAGTTCGATCTTCATGCTTCTCACACGGCCAGGGTCGCACGGCCGTGTGTGATTTCCATCTGCCCGTGTTTGCTCTCGGCGAAACTCGCACGGCCAGGCCACTCCTTCACACGGCCGTGTGAACATCAGGGCAAGCCGTGTTTGCTCTCGCACAATCTCACACGGCCAAAGTGGTCACTTGCACGGCCGTGTGAGTTGTGGGTGTGCCCGTGTGGCCTCCTTTTTGACTTGCCTCGCGCCCGATCTTCGTCCAATCGACCCCAAACTCGCTCCCAAGCCTCCATTCACGTACTAGGACCTGAAATATCACAAACAAGCACAACCTAGCGTGAAATCGGCCTAAAACACGAGAAATCACATCTCAAACGGTGTAAGAACAGGGGTAAAAACATGTGTAATTAACGGTCTATCAGCGACCAACGCAAAGATCACCTTCACCAAATCAAACAATAAAAAAAAACTAAACTAAAAGATGCCAACCAGATATCCCATCAATAACTTGAAGGGAACCGAGATTCCATTTCAGAAACCATTGAACAACCAGAGCAACAACCAATCACAAACTGGTGAATAGTAAAATTGAGTCTAAACGAATAGTCAAAGCAGTCTAGATGAACAGTGGAAGGTGGTTTGAGAAGTTATACTTTTTGGTGGTTGTTGGAGGTTTCTGAATCTCCCACGCCTCACTTGTGCGTGGAAAGCACAAGCAGATGGCGAGCGACGCATCTAGTCAACACAAAGAAAATTACCTTGTGCGTGTGTAGATGAATAGTAACGTGTCTTACATAACCCATCAAACAATCTCCAATGTCAAATCCCGCAACCCACCAAACAATACCAGACCAAAGCAGCCCAGTAGGGACAAAGTTAAACTATCAGATGATCATCTGCAAAAGGCAAAAACATAATCTGCCATGTAAGGGAAGGCTTCGCCAACAACAGAACTGTAAAGAATATAACAGGGGATTAAGAAGCGAACCTCGCCCAAATTCCAGCGACTCTTTTTGGAACTCCAAACCCCTGGTGTTGCCCACACCATCCGTAAGAACAGCAGATCAATCAATGCCCAACCGTTTACTTCATCTTGCAAAATCTCATCTGAAAAATAATCACAATAAACCCATGAAAAACAGAACAAAATCATGAACGACAGAAAGATAACAAAACCAAGATTATAACCTGTGCACTGGGGCATTCTTTAAATCCCCTTTCTCTCTCTCTCAAATCTACAACCTGATCGTTTCGAGATCGCCATCTCCCAAACTGGATGTGAAAAACCATCGCCGATAGAAAAGTGAGAGAGAAAGATAGGGGGAAAAGTGAGTGAGAGAGAGAGAAAGGGGAAAGGCCATTGCAACGACATCTACAAAAACAGTACAAAGATAAAATTTTAGTAAACAAACAACAGAAATATAAACAAAGCAAATCCAACAAAAACAAACCCACTAACCTGTCAAATAACTATGGTTACCGGCACGCAAATTCAACTGAGAGAAAGCCACAAACTCGTAAGCATCAAGTGGGAAACTTTCAGCAGGAAAAACAGAGGGCTGAAAAGAAGCCGAAGGCGAAAGACCCAGAGCCAAATCAAAAGAACAGGCCCGATACTGATTTGGCGGATTGCTCAGGGCAAAAGTCTTTATGACGTATATCTTGCCAACTGAGAGATTACGGCGAATCCCGGTAGCCATCGAAGTCGGTGAGACGCCTTGTATCAGCATACCCTGCCGCATGAACAAAGCGAAGAGGACACAGCAAACGGGGGCAGGAAAGAAAAGGCGAGAAGGACAGAAACTCAACTGTTTCGTCGACCCAAAGAGTGCAGTAATTGTAGATCCTAATGTCCCCCGGGGACTTCGCCGGCCACACATGCAACAGGCGGAGCCGCAAAGAAACGCTGCCATTGCGAGGACCCCCGAGGTTACAAAGCAACGTAAACTCCATGGTTCGGGCAAAGAAGAAAACCAAAGAGAGAGAAAGAAATTTTTTGAGAAAGAAAACAGAATGACAGGAGGGAAGCTCCGGCGCCACGAAAGATAAAAAAATGAAAGAAGGAATGAACAGACGTGATAGTACTGCATGTCAGTTACCGGTCCAATGACGGAAGAGAACGTAAAAAATGGGAAACGACACTGCGATTAACAAAAAGATAAGGACAACGTAAAATCAAGGAACCGCCAATGAAACCATAAAAAGCAACGAAGGATTCCAGGCGCCGAAGCGGCGGTTTTCAGATATCAGGTCACAAAGAGAACCGCTCCCCCCAGGCCCAAACGCAAATCGCCGTATATAAAATGGCGCGCCCATCATTGGCCGAAATCCAGGAAGACAAGAAACAAAGCCCACGTGCAAGAGAAGAAAGCAAAGCAGTGCGTGTAATAATTATACGGGGCGGCCTCAGGGGAAACGATAGAAAGAAGCAGAAAACGCAGGGAAAATAAGCGTCCATTTGAGGGCAACGCGGCACACAAAGGAGCAATAGAAAACAAATAAAAAACCGGCCCACCCACAACTGAGCAGCCAATAAGAAAATGCGGCCGCAAAGGTGGACCAATCAGGAGAGGGTGAACAGTAATTTTGAGTCTAAATGAACAGTAAATTGTGTCTAGATGAACAGTGACGTGTCTTTGCAAATAACTTGTTCTGATATATAATGTAAATGAAAATTTTGATAAAGGTTGATATTTATATTAATATTAGGTTATTGCCCCTAAATTATATGTAAATTTATTGGGGTTAATTGCATGGTTGGTCACTAAGATTACAAAAAACGTTCAACTTTGGTCACTGGAAATATTTAAATCCAATCTTGGTCACTCAAATTATTTAAATGGTTCAAGTTTGGTCACTCTCCGTCCAACTCCGTTTACTCTTGCTTATGTGACAGTCAACTTTTATAGTTAACTATTAAATGTGCGACGTGACAATTAAAATAATAAAATAAATTTAATTTAATTTAATTTAATATTTTTCACCTTATTTTTAATCTAAACAGGAGATGGTAATGCTGATTGTTGACCGACCGAGAATCAATCGAGAGCTGTTATTAGAAGAAACACGAATCAAGCAAATTAACTCCAACCCAGAATCAAATTCCCTCCTTCTTCTTCTTCTTCTTCAACCATTCACTGCGTAGAACGTCGTCTTCTTCTTCTTCTTCACCCATTCACTTCGTAGAACGTCTTCTTGAAATTCTCCAAGACGTAAGTCTCCAAGCAGAGCGTCAACGACAGATTTCCATCGACGCTGTACTTGGGCAAGATGTTCCCCTCCCCTTCAAACATATTCGCCAGCCGATTGAAGATCATCCCGCCCCACCGGAAATCGACGCACGCGAACGACAGTCGAATCCAGCTAATAATCTTCAAATTCGGCATCCTACATGTCTCCCAAAACCTGCATAACCGCCGACGAATCGTTGCGATCCTCGAGGTAATCGATTGCAGAGTTCTAAATGAGTGAAAATCATACTTTACCATTAGCTTGTAGCCAACGACGTCCAATGTTTTAGCTTGTCTATAACTCTATATAGAAATGTCACATAGCCGAAATATGCCTCCAATATAGAATATCACCATCCCCAATGTATTTCAGATACCTATACACTCCACTCCATCCAAAACGAATATAACAACGACGATCAAGACAACACTAATGAAACAAACCCGGATGAAAAGAACAAAGCTAAGTCACGCCAGTCCTGCCTAGCTAGCTAGCTAGCTACTTCTTCTTGTTCACAAACGGACGGGTTCGGGCGGGTTCGGGCTGGGTTCAATCGGGTTCGGGTTCAAACGGGTTGGCGGTTAGTTGGGTTGCGGGTTCATCGGGTTCGGGTTCATCGAGTTCGGGTTGGGTTAGTCGGTTTGCGGGTTCATCGGGTTCGGGTTCAATCGGTAATACGCCCCTGGGGGGTGTATGTTATCAAAGTAACGCAGCAAACGACTCAATCGAAGAATCGATTGAGCTCGAATCAAGAACGAAGCGTTCTTAATACGAACTTGGATAAAACGGAACCAAAAGGACAAATCCACACCTGGGGATAGCTCGATTGGTATAAAAGGGTAGTTGCTCGACCACGATTGAAGTGACTATTCAATCGATACACAAGCTCAGCAAGTTTGGAATCCACCAAACCCAAAACAAGTCGCAACTTGCACAAACCAAACGGTTTCGATTTCTATTCAACAAAGTCTTCGTTTTACAACGAAATAGAAAGCTTAAATAGGCATAGCTAGGGTTACACACGTCCCATAAACTCCTAATTACAGTCTAATACGAAAAGGAATCAAAAACTACCAAAACAATGAAATCCTAACTAAACAAGAAAAGAAATCTGCCTTTAGCTCCAAGTAACCAAACAGCTTTGATGCCATCTTTGAGCCTCTCGATCAAAGCCTTCCAGGTAAGCTTCCAATCATCCAATGCCATGTCTTTGTAGTAGAACATACCTACTTTCATGTGGTATAAGCCTCTGGACTCGAATCTCATCCATGCTTCTGGAATGGAGCTCCAAAGTAGGCTTCTTGAACACAGTTTCTGCCTTAACCAAATTCTGGCAGTTTTCCAGTTTTGAGGTAGCAACTTTGAGGCCTTGGAAAACAACCTTAATGATATTATCTGGATCCACAAAGCATACCATTGGAAAGGTGGCAACTTTATCTGCAAAACAAACTCTTACAATGGAATTTCCACCAAGCCAATTGAGAGAACTATGCCTCCAAAGTATGTACCCTGAACACGGATTTTGACTTAGCCAAATTCTGCCCTTCTTCTTTCCAACCTTGATAGCTTCTTTGTCAAGTAATAAAAACGTGTATGGTTGGCAATTTGGGATCATATCAGGCTCCCCCTCTTCAAAAAGCTTTGACCTCAAAGCTTGATCTTTCCTTTTGTCAAAATCATCACAGAATCGATCCCAAATTGGATCGAAAGTAGCCTGCTCGAACATCTTTTTCGGCACAACTTTGGCAGCTTCAATCTCATCATCAATCGCATCTAGTTGTGTTGGTGCTTGCAGTGTCATTGGGATCGCTTTGTGTGGTTGAAATAAACCTGCTTTGACCACCAATTTTGCCGAATTTCGTTCCGAGCAATTTCCAGGTCGTCGGACAGGAGTGCGACACTCGTTCTTGCTCGGCACAATTGGGGGTTTGTGATTCAAGTATCCCCCATCCAATTCAAGAACTCCAAACTCTTCTCCAGGCTTCCAATTGAAGTTCTGCTCCATTCCCAAGTCCCGAAGCATCGCCATTGTCTTCAATTCGTCGAGTTATCCTTTCCCACCGTCGACGGAATTCGAATGTCCGCAACCCAGAAAAACCAAATCGAAATTGGGGGTTTTATATCCAAGCACCTTCTCTTCGAATTGTTGAATTCTACACGTTCCTCTTACCTCCTGTGATGATTCTACAGCGTTGGATTTGCTCGAATCGAGCTGGATTGCTCCACCCAAGAGAGGATCCTCGTCGGCCGTTTGCTTCACGAACAGAGGTAGTTTTACGCGAATCGATTCTCCAATTCCAGGTATGTTCATCTCCGATGAAGTATCTTCCAATGTTTTTGGGGTCGTGGGGATCGATTTGGCACCAATGGCGGAGTTCGAATCTTCGCCGATCTCTACGACGAAGTCGCCCTCTCTCCTGCTCTGTTTTCTCGAGTGCAGGGGCGTTGCTGGTCGATCTCGATTATGCAGTTGGTCTTGAATCGACGCAAACCACTCCAGGGTAAAGATTCTTGATGCTACCTGGACCATGTCTGCACTGGTGGTGTGGCTGGACTCTTCCCCTAGCTCGGCATCGACTTCTCCACGCTGTGGGCTCTGTTTTGACGAAGGAAAACAGAGATGATGAGCGCCGGTGGACGTTTGGACGGGAATGCCTTGCGAGGATGCCAACGTTCGTCGATCCAAACTCCTAACTCTCTCTTCCAAGTCGTGGGCAGGTCTGATTACAAATCCTTGGTCTTGACTCCCTTCTGGAATTGGATTACGTACTGTAAAACTTGGCGTCGAAGTTGTATTGTTTCTCGGCAACGCAAACTCATCTATTCGATGAGAAACTCGATCAAATTTGGGCTGGAAGGTCGCGTTAAACGCGTCTGTGAGCATCTTCTTAAATTCATCCATGTCAATTTGAAGACTTCCCATCGTCTCTTCTGCGGATTGGGTCTTCTTCTTCGAATAAGAATCTTCCTCTGCTCCTCTCTGTTTGCTGTCCGCAAAGAAAAACAGAACGAAAAACAAGATTCTCGATCTCCTTCTTGCCCCTGCTTTGAACGGGGCTCTGATACCACTTAATACGCCCTTGGGGGGTGTATGTTATCAAAGTAACGCAGCAAACGTCTCAATCGAAGAATCGATTGAGCTCGAATCAAGAACGAAGCGTTCTTAATACGAACTTGGATAAAACGGAACCAAAAGGACAAATCCACACCTGGGGATAGCTCGATTGGTATAAAAGGGTAGTTGCTCGACCACGATTGAAGTGACTATTCAATCGATACACAAGCTCAGCAAGTTTGGAATCCACCAAACCCAAAACAAGTCGCAACTTGCACAAACCAAACGGTTTCGATTTCTATTCAACAAAGTCTTCGTTTTACAACGAAATAGAAAGCTTAAATAGGCCTAGCTAGGGTTACACACGTCCCATAAACTCCTAATTACAGTCTAATACGAAAAGGAATCAAAAACTACCAAAACAATGAAATCCTAACTAAACAAGAAAAGAAATCTGCCTTTAGCTCCAAGTAACCAAACAGCTTTGATGCCATCTTTGAGCCTCTCGATCAAAGCCTTCCAGGTAAGCTTCCAATCATCCAATGCCATGTCTTTGTAGTAGAACATACCTACTTTCATGTGGTATAAGCCTCTGGACTCGAATCTCATCCATGCTTCTGGAATGGAGCTCCAAAGTAGGCTTCTTGAACACAGTTTCTGCCTTAACCAAATTCTGGCAGTTTTCCAGTTTTGAGGTAGCAACTTTGAGGCCTTGGAAAACAACCTTAATGATATTATCTGGATCCACAAAGCATACCATTGGAAAGGTGGCAACTTTATCTGCAAAACAAACTCTTACAATGGAATTTCCACCAAGCCAATTGAGAGAACTATGCCTCCAAAGTATGTACCCTGAACACGGATTTTGACTTAGCCAAATTCTGCCCTTCTTCTTTCCAACCTTGATAGTTTCTTTGTCAAGTAATAAAAACGTGTATGGTTGGCAATTTGGGATCATATCAGGCTCCCCCTCTTCAAAAAGCTTTGACCTCAAAGCTTGATCTTTCCTTTTGTCAAAATCATCACAGAATCGATCCCAAATTGGATCGAAAGTAGCCTGCTCGAACATCTTTTTCGGCACAACTTTGGCAGCTTCAATCTCATCATCAATCGCATCTAGTTGTGTTGGTGCTTGCAGTGTCATTGGGATCGCTTTGTGTGGTTGAAATAAACCTGCTTTGACCACCAATTTTGCCGAATTTCGTTCCGAGCAATTTCCAGGTCGTCGGACAGGAGTGCGACACTCGTTCTTGCTCGTCACAATTGGGGGTTTGTGATTCAAGTATCCCCCATCCAATTCAAGAACTCCAAACTCTTCTCCAGGCTTCCAATTGAAGTTCTGCTCCATTCCCAAGTCCCGAAGCATCGCCATTGTCTTCAATTCGTCGAGTTATCCTTTCCCACCGTCGACGGAATTCGAATGTCCGCAACCCAGAAAAACCAAATCGAAATTGGGGGTTTTATATCCAAGCACCTTCTCTTCGAATTGTTGAATTCTACACGTTCCTCTTACCTCCTGTGATGATTCTACAGCGTTGGATTTGCTCGAATCGAGCTGGATTGCTCCACCCAAGAGAGGATCCTCGTCGGCCGTTTGCTTCACGAACAGAGGTAGTTTTACGCGAATCGATTCTCCAATTCCAGGTCTGTTCATCTCCGATGAAGTATCTTCCAATGTTTTTGGGGTCGTGGGGATCGATTTGGCACCAATGGCGGAGTTCGAATCTTCGCCGATCTCTACGACGAAGTCGCCCTCTCTCCTGCTCTGTTTTCTCGAGTGCAGGGGCGTTGCTGGTCGATCTCGATTATGCAGTTGGTCTTGAATCGACGCAAACCACTCCAGGGTAAAGATTCTTGATGCTACCTGGACCATGTCTGCACTGGTGGTGTGGCTGGACTCTTCCCCTAGCTCGGCATCGACTTCTCCACGCTGTGGGCTCTGTTTTGACGAAGGAAAACAGAGATGATGAGCGCCGGTGGACGTTTGGACGGGAATGCCTTGCGAGGATGCCAACGTTCGTCGATCCAAACTCCTAACTCTCTCTTCCAAGTCGTGGGCAGGTCTGATTACAAATCCTTGGTCTTGACTCCCTTCTGGAATTGGATTACGTACTGTAAAACTTGGCGTCGAAGTTGTATTGTTTCTCGGCAACGCAAACTCATCTATTCGATGAGAAACTCGATCAAATTTGGGCTGGAAGGTCGCGTTAAACGCGTCTGTGAGCATCTTCTTAAATTCATCCATGTCAATTTGAAGACTTCCCATCGTCTCTTCTGCGGATTGGGTCTTCTTCTTCGAATAAGAATCTTCCTCTGCTCCTCTCTGTTTGCTGTCCGCAAAGAAAAACAGAACGAAAAACAAGATTCTCGATCTCCTTCTTGCCCCTGCTTTGAACGGGGCTCTGATACCACTTAATACGCCCCTGGGGGGTGTATGTTATCAAAGTAACGCAGCAAACGTCTCAATCGAAGAATCGATTGAGCTCGAATCAAGAACGAAGCGTTCTTAATACGAACTTGGATAAAACGGAACCAAAAGGACAAATCCACACCTGGGGATAGCTCGATTGGTATAAAAGGGTAGTTGCTCGACCACGATTGAAGTGACTATTCAATCGATACACAAGCTCAGCAAGTTTGGAATCCACCAAACCCAAAACAAGTCGCAACTTGCACAAACCAAACGGTTTCGATTTCTATTCAACAAAGTCTTCGTTTTACAACGAAATAGAAAGCTTAAATAGGCCTAGCTAGGGTTACACACGTCCCATAAACTCCTAATTACAGTCTAATACGAAAAGGAATCAAAAACTACCAAAACAATGAAATCCTAACTAAACAAGAAAAGAAATCTGCCTTTAGCTCCAAGTAACCAAACACCTTTGATGCCATCTTTGAGCCTCTCGATCAAAGCCTTCCAGGTAAGCTTCCAATCATCCAATGCCATGTCTTTGTAGTAGAACATACCTACTTTCATGTGGTATAAGCCTCTGGACTCGAATCTCATCCATGCTTCTGGAATGGAGCTCCAAAGTAGGCTTCTTGAACACAGTTTCTGCCTTGACCAAATTCTGGCAGTTTTCCAGTTTTGAGGTAGCAACTTTGTGGCCTTGGAAAACAACCTTAATGATATTATCTGGATCCACAAAGCATACCATTGGAAAGGTGGCAACTTTATCTGCAAAACAAACTCTTAAAATGGAATTTCCACCAATGGCTACTTTGTAGCTATCAAGCTAAGGTTGGGTTACTAACACCCAATATAGTTGTTGGATTAGTGGTGTTAAAGAGCTTGATTATCAAGCTGGGCTCGTTGACCTCATTGACATGCCATTTTCGAGCTGAATTCAGCTAAAAAAGTGGCCTGTTAATAGGTTCATTACCAAAATCGAGCTATGGTATTGCTACGAGCTCATTACCAAAATGGCCTGTTAATTGATAACTTTATTGGATATTTAAATTAACAATAATTTTCATTAATATATTATATTAATATTGTCCATGATCTCAATTATTAATTCTTCATTATTAATATCAACTTTGTGATAAATTTATCTTTTATATTTAATTTTTTAATTTTGTTAAAGAATTTAGTGTTCAAGCGATCTTCATGTTTAAAACATATACTATCAAGTGAGTTTCATATTTTTTTAAATTATATAAACAAAATGAAAAAAATAATTTTACCTAAGTATAGAATTAAAAACTATATTTGAAAAACTATGCATTATATAATATAATAATAATAGTTTATCATCAAAGATTAACTATACCAATGTCAGAAAGAACAAGAGTAGCCAAAGAATTAGGCAAAACAGAGTGATAAAAGAAGTTATTTCGAAATAACTCATTGCCCAAATAACTTCAGTAAACTGTTGCCAAACGAGTTATTTGTAAAATTGTTCGAATTATCCTGAAAATTGAACCATTAAAGATTAACTATCAAATCTAGTAAAATTATTGGGACATCAATCATAACTTACTCAATAATATATATCCTATACACTTAGTCTTACCCTCAATCGACAATATTAAGTTAGTATATGTTGTTGATTGTATACCCTAAACCATCAATACATTATACACTAACCACATACTCTATACCCTAACCATATGTCCTTATGAGTTGTGATTTTGCTAGTATAGTTAATTTAAAACTGAAATTCATACTTTGATTTTCAAAACATAGATAAAAAGTGATATTTGCTAATTGCTATACCCTAACCATATATCTTATACTCTACATCATATACCTTGTACCCTAACCACGTACCATAAACATAAATTAAAAAGGGATCTCCTGCCGTTAAAGACATCAAATGACTTCAAGTGAACATATGTTAATAAAAAAACTTAGAACCGTCAAAACCATCAATATCTTATACCCTAACCATATACTCCCTAAACCATATGTACCTTATACCATTTACCCTAACCAATATACTTTATACCCTAAACAACGAACCGTCAAAGATTACTTATCAAGTTTAGTATAATTGTTGTAACTAATATATATATATATTAGCCTTAAAAGCATATAAGAATAAATTTAACTAATCATGCCCTCCATATAAAAATTAAAGATTCATATTTCAAAGGCTAAAACTTTGAAAAACCAAAAAGTAGAAAACACCAAATTTGTTTCATTCTTTATTTTCACAAAAAAAAATATAAACTAAAATTTCCCTCCTTTCTCCTTCGATAATGTTGAGGGATTTACACATGTTAGGTCTGCAGTAGTTGGAGGGTAGGGTGTATTGATGCTGCTGGTTGTTTTTAGTCGCTAGCAGAGTTCCTTTGGTTCTTTTCTTTTGCGTGGGGATGCTGCTTTGGTATCCTTGCTTTTCGTTGTATCTTGGATTGCTGCTTTGGCAATTCGTTACTTAATAAAGGGGTAACTCATTCAACGGAAAAAAAAAAAAAAATTAGAAACACTCACTTTCCCTCCTCTTTCTCTTCCATAAAGTTGAATACACCAAAATTTTCCTCTTCTTTTAAAAGCATCAAATTACCAAATACATTACTTTATTTTATTTATATTTAATTGATAATTTTATTGAATAGTTGAATTAACCATATTTTAATTTATATATTATATTAATATTGTCCATGATCTCAATTATTAATTCTTCATTATTAATATTGACATTATGTTGATTTTATATTTACTTTTTTAATTTTGTTAAAGAACTTAGTGTTCAAGTGACCTTCATGTTTACCTTTTTGTAATTTTCTTAAAATACATAATATCGAGTTTCATATTTTTTAAATTCCCTATACGAAATGAAAAAATAATTTTACCTAAGTTTAGAATGAAAAACTTTATTTTGAAAAACTATGTATTGTATATTATAATAATTATTTAAGTGGACTAAGTGAGGTTCGGGTTGAGTCGGTCGGGTTACGGGTTAGTCGGGTTTGGGTCAATCGGGTTCTAGTTAATCGGGTTGCGGGTCAGTCGGGTTGCGGGTCAATCGGGTTCGGGTTAATCGGGTTGCGGGTCAGTCGGGTTGCGGGTTAGTCGGGTTGCGGGTCAATCGGGTTGTGGGTCGGGCGGGTTACGGGTTGTTGACTTTTAGTCAATTCGGGTTGCGGTCGGGTTGCAGGTCGGGTTGATCGGGCGGGTTAATCGGGTCGGGCTATGTTTTGACACCTATAGTCACGTTTCCACTTAATCGGGGAGTAATAATAAAATGTTGTTTTGTTTCTTTCTAGGTTGAAAACTAGTGGTAGTACCATTAGTATGGCAACGAAACTCGGATTCATGGGTATACTATACCCGATTCAGTCATTCGGTTAAAGCGGGTAAAATTCGTGTTGACGGATTGGGTGTCGGATTTAATTTGAAACCAGTTGTTAGATTGTTCAGCTGGTTGGGTTTGGGTACAAATATATCCAACCCATGTATATCCCGCTCATATACTCATACTCTCGTAACCCGTTGATTAAACGTGTTGTTCGTGGATGTTTATCTTTAATATTGAACAATTTGTATGGATAATATGTGAGTTTGATGGTATGCAGTAAATTGGTAATTTTTTTGTATTGATAATTTGTATGGAATATGGATAGAGACTGGTGCTAGACTTTTATTTTGACAAGAGATTGATGTTATGCATTTATATCCATTAGAATTCATAGACATCGATGACCCGCGGATACCCAATTGATTGGGTTGGGTTTGAGATTTTGGAACCCGTTGAGTTTTTCCTGAATTTTTTGCGGATATACCTGCTGGATTGGGTTGGATTCACCAGAAGCCAGTCCAACTCGACCCATTGCCATCCCTATACATTAGAAGTGGAAAAACGGTTTGGTTCGGATAAATGAGACTGGATTAAACAGGTTTTTGAAACCGTTTTCGTAATCGTAGCAACCGAAAATTGAATTGGATGAGGATCTGGTTTCAACTGTGACCAGGCTAGATTCGATCCACTCCAATCCGATTTCAACCCAAAAATCGTTTGTGTCCGTTCCCCTTCCCAAAAATGCTGCGTTTTAATAAAAATTGGATTAAAAAAAACCACAAAAAGTTCACATGGTTCGAATTTATGAAATCAAATAACTTTCTGGCTTTGTCAAAAAAAAAAATTGTCATAGTAACCCTTGCGGATTAACTAGTTAAGCACGAGATAGCCACAATACAACGGCTTCTTCGTGAAATGATAGTCAAAGCAAATAAGAACAATTGAAACGAACACTACAAGAGCCAGAGTAGCTTAAGGCATTACGTGCCACAACATGGGCTGCCCGATTCGCTTCTCTAGGAGTAAAAGCACCAGAAACTAGCGGCAGTTCTTACAACATAAAGATGACTTCTCGTAAGATAGCCCCCACAAGGGCATCATTGGCATCAGAACCCTTCAAATGTTGTACAACTGCAAGAGCATCACTTGTGCTCACGATCGGTCGATCCTGCCACTGCCATTGTCGAAGTAATAATAGAGCTTCTCTAATGGCCAACACCTCCATGATCTTAGGATGAAAAAGGTCTGGGAAGAAACCACCCATTGCAGAACTGGGAAGAAACCACCCATTGCAGAAACTGGCACATTCTTATCCAAACCCACCACGCCAATTGCGCCATGAGTCGGAGCACTGGTCGCCCCATCAACTGCAATGCGAAAAGTAGATTGAAGCGTCAAATGAGGATATGGCTGAGGTCTGGGTGGCGGTGACTGATTGGGGAGGACGGCAATTTGATGAGAGGCATGATGAGATAATAGGTGACGGTACTAGGCAGCAGTGGTAAATTGTGCATAGGGTGGAAAGACAACATTATTCCGCCTTTTCCAAATCCGCCAAAAATAGAGGACCCAATTTATTATGGTGGCATGATCGGAGAGAATGATGTGTCTTAAAAAGATTGACAAATGCGTGTTTAGAAAAATTCCCGGAGGCAAATGTAAGTCACACCATTGGCGGAAAGCTAATGCCACACGACACGCAAGGAATAAATGTTCCAACGATTCGCCTTCATCTAAACCACAAACAAGGGATGAATCTTCTACCTGCACCCCATGTCGGGCAAGATCCTCCCTAACCGGAAGGATTCTTAGTAAAATCCGCCCAAGGAAAAACTTCAATTTGGGTGCAAGAGGAAGACCCCAAAGTCGAGGCCAATTCTCACTTTGTCTAATTGATCAAGTAGCAAACATTGTGAACAACCAATTCCACATTTATATCCTATACCGAAAGTTCGACATATATACTAAACTAAATACAAGAACAAAAATGAAGTATCAATCGAATCTAACACCAAGTTAACCGCAACTAACCGTTAACTGCGATCCATACTCACCACAATCGATTAATCTACTTCTATTTCCTAGGGTTGGTGTTGATAATTGGGGCTTTTCTCAACTTGAGTCCTTCTAGTTTTCTGATTTCAGATATATACTAAAACTTTTCAGATATATACTAAAACTTTACAAGGAAGGAGATTAACTAACAGCTGATAAACAGTAAAAGCCAAACTAACAAATAAATGCACCTCTAGTCGATTAACACCTGTCCACAATTAGTTATATCTACATTGATTAATCAAAACGACATAGCAGTTGTCTTCTTGTTCTCAACTGAAGGAAAAACGGGCCCGTTCTGAACCAAACACTAGTCTACAGATTAGCAGAGAACGGCATCGTTTTCAGGTGAGTTAAGTTCTTCAATAGTCCAGAGCTCCACTGATCCTCCTTTGCAGCTGCAGTCAAACAAGGATCTTCAAGTCAGTAATTCAAGCTCTTGCATGAGTCATTTCCTCTATTGCACACCTCGGCATTATGCTTAGTTCATCATTAGACGAAAAAAGATTCGCTACCGAGGAATCATCCCAAAGGTTTGCCAATCACTGTACCTACATCATGCTCAGCATCAGCCAAAATCACGTAGAAGATTTAATGCTCAGCATCGGCATTATCTCTAAACACATGACTAATGCATTAGACATGGATCATCATCTATTCTCATGCTAATTACAGACAGAAACTTACAGGGAACTTATTTACACAGCAAACAGAGAGAGCCAACAATATGCAGAACACTTGAATCAAGTTCTTTCTGATAATGTCAGGAAGCATCGAAACACATATATGTAAGTGGGATGGCAAGGACCATGACACACAAAGAGGTTTTGATAAACTACAGGATCATGCAACTGGCCTTTGGATGAGAATTTCAGCAGGTTCCTTGGGTTGCAGCAGCTGATAGATCACTAGACACTATTTCGTGACTCTTGATATTAGGACCATTCAACAGCTTCTGGACAATTGGATGATCCAACTGATTCTTGGGCAACAATTCTATCAACAAAGACATCGTGGTTAAATCGGCTGAGAAACCTTTCGAAACCATCTCATGAATAAGATTGATTGCCTCAAGTGGATCCTTGTGGTGAAGAAATCCATGAATGATCACGTTATAGGAGCTACTATCTGGTAGACAACTATTTGCCTCCATTTTCCTGAACAAATCATATGCTTCATCCACAAAACCATGATGGCAAAGTCCATTGATTGCGATGTTATATGTGAGGATATTAGGTTGCAAACAATTGTCTCTAGAGAGCCTGGAAAATATTTCCCTTGCTTCCTTTTCCCTGCCTGCTTTCCACAACCTGTCCATAAGTATATTGTACCCCACAACATCAGGTTTGCACCCCCTATTGTCAATGAAATCAAATAGCTTTCTGGCTTTGTCTAATTCATTGCGCAAACAATACCCATTCATCAATGAATTGTAAGTGACGTTATCTGGAAGCAGTCCTCTTTGAATCATCATTTTGAGTATAACTTTAGCTCCCAAAACATTTCCTTCCTTACAGAAAGCATCAACCAATATGTTATAGGTGAATGTATCAGGCATGATCTTCTTGTCTACCATTTTATTGAACAACTCCATAGCTTCATTGATTCTGCTTGAAATGCACAAACCATAAATCAAGCTATTGTAAGCAAACACATCAGGTTGACAACCGAACTCCTTCATGTTTTTGAGCAATTCAAGTCCAGCACTCGTTTGCCCTGCCTTACACAATCCATCTATAATAATGGTATAAGTGAAAACATCCGGTTGATAACCCAAAATCCTAATTTTATGAACCAACCTTGCAGCCTCGATTACTTTCCCAACTTTACAGAGCCCGTCGATCAATGTACTGAGCATCACATCGTCGAATTGAATACCGAGTTTCTGAGCTTTGCTCAAAACTGAGTAGCCAAAATCCACTCGACCCAATTTACAGAAGCAACGAAGCATCAAGCCAAGTGTGTAACGATCGTGTGGTACTCCAGCTAATTCCATACGTTTAGAAGCATAGAAGGCAGCCTGGAAGGCCTTCATTCTAACAAGAGATGACACCAACTGACCAAATTTGACACCGGAAGGCCTGGGATTCATTTGGAGCATCCGATTAAATGAATCCAAGGCATCATCTACGCTAGCGAAAGTTACAGAATTGGAGGTCATAGGAGTAGTTGAATTGCGGGTCATAGCAGCAGAAGAATAAGGGAACTGAGTCATACCGGCTTTTCTTCGCCAATGAAATAGAGAGCAGTTTCGATGGATGATCCTAGCCATGCCAAGCTGCTGAACCGCTTTGAATTGAAAGCGTTCACAATGAGGGACCCTGACAGCCATCAATAGATACTGCCTAAATCAATTTCCACCGCGAACCCAGAATGAAAGATGCAAGCTTGACACCGAATCCGGAACCCAACCAGAAAACTGGACTGAAACACAAACAACTGTGACGCCGGCGGCGGCGGGGAGACAAAGAAGGTTGAGACTTTTACGTTCGAATACTAAAAATATAGATGAAAAATTACATTTTAGTACCTAGAATTTGTTACCTTACATTTTGTACCTAAACTTTTTATAATTTACAATCAGGTCCATTACTAAGAAACTTGTGGCCTTCTTTTGAAAAACTTGTGGTCTGCTTTGAGGAGGTTGTTGCATGTTTTGTGGTTGTGACATGTTTCGTGGTTGTGACATGCTTGAAAGCGGTTGTGGCATGATTCATGGTAGCATGCTAGCATTTCTCATGGTTAGGAGATGATTAGAATTATTAAAGAAAAAGTAATAAATAAAAATTGGTTGGTGGCTGTGAATACTAGGTCGATCAGTAATTGAACCACATACATAAATTTACAAAATCCAGCAGCTTTAACCTGCTGCTTGCTCCAACAGGTATTAACATCGAAGTTCATTCTTGGCCACGTAGTCAACAACCATAATTTTCAAAATTCGCATGCATTTCACAGATCTACAATTCCTCCACTTCCAGAGAGAACCCGCAGTAGCACCGCTTTGTCCTCACTAAGCTCTGCTCATCGAAACTCTCATCCTCCGCCAAAAAAATGTGTTGATGCTCCTCTGTTGTTGATGCAGAAAATGAAGCAGCCGTGATCCTGTGCTCTACACCAGAGGGTGTTTGGATTGCATGCTCACCAAGATCTCGGTCGCAGACTTCTTTATCAGTCTTATTATGATTCGCGTTCTGAGAATTAATCATGTGGGCTGATGAATTGTTTCCATACAATTTATTTAACCTTTCCCTGGTTATAATGGAGGAGACAAGTTGATACCACCTTGAAACAGCCATTGCTTCATCTCTCCTCTTCTCTTCTGCCTTCCTCCTATCCTCTTCCTCATCATAGGCCTGGGAAATCAGCCAGCCAGTGCAATGCACAAGTTCTTATGAAACATGATTCAGTAGATCGAAACAAAACAAAAAGCTGCAAAACTCCAGGCATAAGTAAACAGATGCTAAACTGCGACTTCAACACACACATGGCGTACCTCCAATATAACATCCTTGAACTCAGCGCAAACCACAATACCATCATAAATTGGGACCGATCTACCATTTCTGAATTCAAAGCCAACCATAGCAGGGGCATAGTCAATGTCTAGCCTCTTGGCAACATTAAATACCCTTGGCAACCTCAAGTGCACGGTCCCTGGTGGCAGGCACTTCTCGGACCACACATCAACTTGGCCTCGTTCGTTCTGAAATGAAGATTGACATTGTGTTGTGTGTCAGGACTCCCAAGAACTTCAGAAATGCAAAAACCAAATGAATGGACATGCTACACCAAGTACATAAGACCATGCCATCCAGGTTAGGCACACAGGAGTAAGTCGCAAAAGAATGACATTCAGTTAACGAAAGGTAACAGGAACTAACCTTTGGCACAATCCCATTTACAGCAGGAGGTAGCTGCAATGGCTCCAACTGCCACTCTCCATAAAGTTCAGTGTTTCCCTTAGAGTTACAATCGTCACCTTCTGAGAATTGTACTTTATTTTGAAACTTCTTGGTTTCTAGCAGAACCTGTGTAACAAGTCAAAAAAAAAAAAAAACGAAAATAAGAACTGCACAACAACCAACAGATTATCACAATGATCCACCACACCTTTGCTGGAAGCTCATTGGCTTTAACCTGCAGCCCTTCACGCAACCATCTTTCTTTCGTTTTGAGAGTTTGGACACAGGCACGAGGATAAACTGGATTGCCAGAACAAAAACCAAGAACAGGACCTTTTGGATGGAGTATCTGAAACTTGGTAAGCCACCTCTCAATTGCATATAGATGATGTCTTCTATAAGCCTGCATTAAGCTAATAAAGTAATGTAACAGTAATCCAAAAGATAAAACAGTCAAATGAATATGATAAAATATAATCACTAACTTGCTGATTAGTAGGAAGAGGCTCAGTTAACGCCCTAGTCTCCAACTCCATATCCTCTAAAGAGTCTCTACTGGCAACAAAAGAATTTATCCAAGAAGGTTGTAGATCAGCTTTGGGGCCGGCTACAGCATCACCTATAAAAACAAGAGGTCCTATGTCAGATCACTGATTCAGTGGGCAAGGAATCAAAGTCTCTAAGCAAGTTCAGATAGTTTAGAAGACAATCCAAACCTTTAAAAACATATGATATCAAGGTCTGTAAATTATCAGTAGAAATATTTTTACCGTTCTCTGCCAATTGCAATGGAGCTCCTGTCGCCCCTGATTCCAACTCCCTCAATGGTCGTAACACAGCATCCCACCAAGTAGAATTAACTCTTTGGGATGCTATTTTGTGCCATTTCATACAATACCTGCATTGCAGAATGGAGTCACTTGTACAATGCAATGAGATCAACTAATCGCATCTAACAATCATTCCAACCATTCTTACAGAAGCAAACTAAGTGCGACCAAATAAAAATTAAAAGAAAGTCACTGTTCCAAATATGCATCCAACAATATCAAAGTCGTACAATAAAAATATAAGTCCCCAAAAGGAAGCCGCTTTGCTTCAGAAGACAACCAGGCAAGAGCCACATATAGGACACTGGAAGGAGTAAATAATCAAATTGAAGAATGCCTCGATCTCATATCAAGAAAAAGAAAAGGAGTGCCGTCAGAGAACTTAGCTTTAAGACATCTTGGCAGTGAGTTATCACTACTGCTACAGTTCACATTTGATATTTATCCAAACGGTTTATGAAGAAACAGATTAAAGTCATCTCTTCCACATAGACCTACTCACTACAAGGAATTAATCTAGCAAAATAGTCCACCACAACCATTAAAGATCAAATCACATTTTTACGGAAAACCTAAGGGGCAATCTGAGAATTTTCAATTTAAAAAGGTAGGGGTCCCAGTCCAAAACCCTGTTTTAAGAAGTTCCACGAAATCAATAATCCAAAGCAAATCTGTGGGAGTATAATAGTACATTGGGGACAAACTCTAACGAAAATGAAACTAGGACATGTTTTAAACCTGCGGGTCACGTCTTTCGCCCCTCGCCCAGCAAATGCAACTGCATATCTTAGAGATGTTTTGCATGCAGTTGCCGCAGCTTCAACCTGATGTTCTCCATCTATGATCGCATTTATAGCATCCACATGCACCCATTTTCCTGCCAAGTTTTCTTCTGTGCAATATATTTCTGCCCAGTAAAGTGGGGATCCCATTTTTCTCGAGCCGATTGCAGTAGAGATAGGCATAGATCGATCAGTTTCAACTCTTCTTACTCGTTTGGGTGAAGAGAGGACTTCACAACATTCTGTATTAGGACTTGTAGCATCCTGTACCACACTACTTTTAGGATCAGCAACTGCGGTCGCAGAGAGAGCCATTTGCAATTGCATCTCAAACTCAATATCACTTTTCCGCTTTGACCCTTGGAACTTCTCAGTATTGGGTACAAGAGAATTACATTGTGGCTCACTTGGTAATGAATCTCCCGGTCCAACTTTAAGTTCATCAGGAGCAAGAAAATCAATTTTCTTCTGCGTTGCATGCGTTTCTTTACTTTTGGACAAGCCTTTTGATGAAGATTCGCATGCATTAGGAGAAATAGAGATTTCCTGCAGTCTGTCCACCATAGGCGTTGAAGAATTAAATATTCCACGGCGCACTCTGCTGGCACTATGACTTGAGGATTCACAGTCATCAACATCAGGTTTTATGGAGGCAACATCCAGAATAGACACAAACCTGTGGAAAACAGCATCTTTATGACAATATGACTTCAAGTATGAACCAGTAATTCTCAAGGAATCCATGTCGAGTACAGCCTTCAGAATAACAGTTGTGCCATGCTAACTAAAAGGAGATTAGTAACAATTACGACTTTACATGCATACATTCGCATAGAACAGGGAAGCAAGCAATAACTAAAGAAGAGTGATGTACTCGATTTTATCAAAACAAGTTATAGGATTAAAATTTGTGCTCCAGCAACACTAAAGCAACTTGATCTTTCACCAAATAGAACGAGAAAATGATTTATTGATAATGTCCCCACATTAAGCTTTGCCCATATACCTCTCGCACCTACTTCTACTTCCCACAACTATATCTTTTGATTTCACTCTGTTGTACTCATACACCAAATGGTTTATTTGGCAGACGAAGTTAGTTCAGTTTAACATTATAAAATGTCTGCAGAGAAAATAAACGATGGAACACGTTACGGAATAAGAAATTTAAGCTTCACAAGAAATAGTACCTAGTTGTAAGTTTCAACGCTCTGAACAGTGTCACAGACAGTGCTGCAATCTGCAAAGTGGAAAAAACCTCAAGTTTCGGGGAAGGCAGTCATGCTCTGGGAGATAAACTAAGCTACCATGAATAACATTTATTCCAAAAGTCCCAGTGCAAGTGAAACAAACCAACAAGAAGACAATATTGTAGTATCCACTATGCAAGTGTCCCTCAATTTATATATAACCATCAGGAGCACTACACAGAACATCATGGACACATAATTGGGTAAATATTTATTTATCTCAAGAATCTATTTAGCATGACAAATTTTTTTTATGAATGATTACCATGGCGGAATATCATCATGGTTCTATGATTAGTAGTACGAAGCATGTGTCACATCTTGGGCAAGATGTGGGTTTCAACAATCTGAAGACAGATAAGGAAGTCCAGGGCCATTAACTCAAGTATTTAGATGATATCAATTGGTGAAAGCAGAACATTACCACCCAAGTAATATCACCATGTTCCCTAATATTTGCATAACCTACATGTCACATCTTAGAGATAAGTTATCGTAGGGCTCCACACCATGAAAGCGAAAGCAAGCAGCCAATTATGAAGATAATTGTACTTGCTTTCTAAAGGGGAAAAATGACACGACAATTTGAGTTTCTCCTGCGAGCATTTTTCCTTTTTTTAATACGTGGAGTGCACATACTACAATGGGCATCCTCTACCATTCCTTGTGTGATGTGGCTACATGTTAGACGAATAGTAAATTAGTGTTTGTCACTTGCAAATTAAAGATTTTTTATGGTTACTTATCTTCAATGATTGATGAGGTCCAAGAAAATAACAGCAAGTAAAAGATTAACTCTAACACGTAAATATGCAACTCATAATTTTCTAAACACCTACCAATGACAATTTATACACAGTAGTTGACATTTGATAATCTTGAACCATATCCATAGATAAACCAAGACACTACCTCCTCTGCAGATCCTTCACGATTTTCAAGAGCAAAAGCCAAAGCTGAAGAAAATGACAGATTTTTGCTGGCTGCACTCTTGACATGGAAATTGCTATGAAACTGCAAATTTCATTCCAGTTATCAGAAACAGGAACTCAGATCCAGCCATAAGGAAGAACATAGATAGCCTCACCCAACTAACAATAGGAGCCAAAGCCTTGGCAGTAACTTTTGAGAGCTCTGGTATCTTCAACAAGTAAGTTGGTAGAAGGGATACTAACGAAGCCTGCCAGTTAAGAAAACGTAAAAGATGCATCAGATGTGTAGAACACATGCTTCTCTTTTCCATCAGGTGGTAAGGAAACAAAGAAAGTGCTCTCCTTGAAAGCATAATGAGAATCCTGTGAAACATTGACATGAAAATTTAAGAACATAATAAGGCACGTTAGTCTATTTTTCTGTCACAAAATTAATCCTATTCACTTTCAGTGATTCGATTTTTAGAACAAGTATCTGCACTTCTTCATTTGTAGCTCTCTTTTTTTTTTTTTTCCTTTATTGGTAAATCTTGATGAAACATTAACATGAAAATTTAAGAACAAAATAGGGCGCGTTAGTCTATTTTTCTGTCACAAAACTAATCCTATTCACTTTCAGCGATTCGATTTTTAGAACAAGCATCTGCACTTCTCCATTTGTAGCTTTTTTTCTTCTTTAGTGGTAAATCTTGAACTTTGCTGATTATGAAAGTAGTTGCTCCAGTTCCCTTCTAAAAGATACAGAAACTCTTGTTGAGTAGAAAGACAGATCCATAAATCTGTTTCGCAGCATTGACATCTGTCCAGGGTCTACTTCACTTGAGTGAGAACTGATATTGGTGAAATTAATCCATTAGGAAAAGTACATATTAAATAAGGACCTGCGGTTGTGACCAATATACTTTCAGCCCAAAGGACTTTGACGCACACATTAAATCCACAAGTCAATATCACCCAAGAGATCTTTGTTGAAAAGGAAAGCTTGAGGGTTCATTGTTAGTCATTTCAAAACACTCGAGGATACAAAAGGAAGTATAATGATGAATAGGTAACAGCAATGGCATCTGTCCTGGTAGTTCTACTTCACTTGGGTGAGAACTATCTCAACATTAATAACTCTGTTTAGAGTGTACAAGTGAAAACATATACAAATCCAGCACTCACGGATCCAAACAAGATTGAAATACAAGCCAGAGACAACAATGAAAAAGTTTGCATCCAAGTGAGTGACACAGACAAAAAAAGAAAAGTGAAAACCCACCTGAAGAAGAGGATCATCACAAGCACTATCAACTACTATGCCCCTTGCAAGCAAACAAAGCAAATGTGCCCGATGCACGAGTTCAGCCAACTCCTGTGAACAGAACAGAAAATCTTTTGCTTCTTGAACCACCCAGCATGATTATAATCAGTAACAAAGAGAGCAAGCTGCAGCTTTGTTCTATTGAAGAAAAACACTGTTACCTTTTCTTCAGCAGTAGCTCGACGGGAAGGCTTTCGGTTGGCAGAATCAGGTGATGTCCCAAATTCGATAGTCAGTGTTTTGGTACCATCACCTGGGACGGAACGAATTATTACAGGTTCCGCAGCAGAAGTAGAACCATCTTCCCAGTCGATGTCATCATCGCTGTTCTGAAGAGGGCAACTAGAGGCACCAATGTCCCCTCGCTCACTTTCCTTGTGTACATTTGCAGAACGCAGTGCATCCACTTCATTCCATGTAACCTTTGCATCAATGATGTGTTTATCTTTGCTTTTCGACCGCTTATCTTGCTGCAACTGGCACAGATAAATTCAACCGGGAAAAAAAAAGGAGAGCATGAGTGCCACTCCTGACTCCAAAACAGAAGCCTTGAAGTTAGCAAACAAGTAGGTTATTGCACAACAGAAATCGCATTGCCAGGCTCACTTCTTTCTTTGTCCGCAATGAACCTCGAGCATTGACCCTTCGTATGACTCTGTTAACTGCGTTCCTTGACGAGTCCGCAATACTCCGGCCTTCTGCATCGTGGTTGTTGGCACTGCCTTTTGCAGCTGGGGAAGCACAACAAGAGGAACAGAAAACTTCAAGTCCAAATATGTTCACTTTAAACCATAAACATCCACAAAAGATGCCATCAATGTTTTCAGAGGAAAAATGAGGAGACTCTTCAAGGGTCGTTACAAGTATAAAGCGGACAACCCAATTCATCAATCTTATCAACGACTCTGCGCATAAAATTCAAAGCCATATAGAACAATGACACCATGAAAGGGGGAAAAAAAAAAAACTCGCCCGATGAATAGGACGTCGTAGTGAAACAAGTTAGTAGGTGCCCATTAGGGTTCCAATGATAAATGAGAAAAGTGAGAGAAATTGAACCTGAAGAAGCGGGAGGGGGAGGGGGAGGAGAAGTAGGTTCCTTCTCTGTGTGCCTCCTGGTTCGCATTGTTAAGTCCGGTGATGTTTACTTGGCCCACTCTCTTACTGTTTTCGTTCGAGTTTCTTCGTGTCTCTCAGTCTGGTGGAAGGAATTGGGAGGAAGAGGAAACGCGCCCGCGCGCAAATAGTGTTACGACTTATGAGCATTTTGGTGACGGGTTGGGATGCTTAAATGACAAAATGTTTAAAATAGAGTGCATAATCTTGTGTGATCAAATAAATATTAGCGTGTTCTCGGTCAGTTCACCGGGGTAATAAGGTGAGATATGAAATTTGATAATGTAATGGGTGTATAGTTTATTGTTCTATTATTATTTTTATTTTTTATTTTTTTTTGAAAACGTGATAAAAATAGTGAATTTTAGCAGGAAAGAGACATGAATGACGCAACGAATCAAAAATCAGCCTTATGAACCAAAATCAAGTACATGTTACCTTGTGAAACAATATTGTTTATGGTAATATGATGAGGTGGAGTAAGTTTTATAGAAACTGAATTCCAAAAAAATCGCATATCCCGCCGTTTTTCGGGAAATGAGCATCTCACAATCGTTGCTAGCTTTTACTCGGCCCTTTGGCAGATTAATTTGCTTTATAAAGCTTTCATTTTGTCGTCATTGTGCTTTCTGATTTTTGCTAGGCCATGATAAAATTTAAAGAAATCAAGAACGAACAACACTATTTGGGATAGGAATCGTTGTTCATGTATCCCTAGAAAATAGTGCTAAACACGGACTCACCTGCCAAATTGGTTTGGATTGAGATTTTTATCGGGTATCAGGGAACCATGTGATTATAAATTAGACTTGATCAAAAGGGGGCCAAAACTTGAAATTCAGCATGTTTGACCGACCCATGCCAAACTCTAATTATTCTTTACTTTTAAACTTTCTATTTGAAAATAAAAAATAGTGAAAGAAAATATATGACTGCAATTCGGCATTTGCACATCACTGATTCGGTAATAAAATCATAGAAATTCGAAAGGAAACTGAAAATGTTTTGGATTGTTTTAATGTTAAAAACAACCAAATAGATCTTTCTGTTTAGTTTTTTACTAGCAAAAACACCAAACGATCCCCTATAAATACACTATAATTTAATCACTATGATATCAAATAATTGCATAATATATATTCGAAATGATAAATATTGGACTAATTGGTTGGGCGAGGTTGAAGTATTGAATAACTTTAAAATACATTATATTTTAGCCACTAAGATATAAAATAATAGCATAATATATATTAGGACTTTGCTACGGTGACATGCATGTCACCGTAACTCGCACTTTTAGGTCGACCTAATATGCACTTTTGGTCTATCTTATATAGGATTAGGTCGACCTTTTAGGTCGACCTAATATGTCGTTTCAGTTTTGTGAGGTTCAACGACGCGGTTGACCTTTTATAGCTAATGGTCGACCTCTTTGTGAAGCGAACAGAATGAAAGGTCGACCCAAATACCTCATAGGCCGACCATTTTGATTAACTGAGGTCGACCGCGTAAGTACGAAGTCGACCGAGTGCACACCGTATCCATATTGGATAAGGATTCCAACACCAGAAAGGTAACCCTAACTTATCTACCACTTAATTCGACCCATTCTCGTCATAAATATCTATAAATATGAAGATATGTCACCTTCACTGCCACCGAAACTCTAAATTAGGTTTTTTTTTAACGGTTAGAGCTTTGGTGAAGAAGATCCTTTGCGGTTGCTGCTGTACGTGATTCAAGAGGTCGACCACGTGGAAGTTATGAGTCCTTGTTATCATTATTTATGACTGATTCTGTTGGTTTGAAACGTAATTTGTACAAGCAAAAGAACCATCCACATCGACATACATAAGCAAAAAAGACACAGGCCATATGTTGATTTTCTTGTATTCGGTCGACCTTGTACCGGATTAGGTCGACCGCGAAACCAACACTTGATCTTCATTTTACGTCAAATGATGATGGATAAATGTATACAATACTTCTCTTCTATCTGATCGACCTCTTTCTGTAAATGGTTGACCATTTTGTTAATGACCGCCATCAAGTGGTCGACCTATATACCTTTACGGTCGACCATTTTGCTTATGACGCCAATGAAAAGGGTAATCGATATTTTATTGTGGTCGACCAACAATGACAACTTAAACTACAAACGGTCGACCACTACATTTTAAAGGTCGACCGTTATAAGTCATCAGGGTGCCCACATTAGTGTATTCGGGAACCTCACAAAACTGAAACGACAGATTAGGTCGACTTAATCTTATATGAGGTCGACCTAAAAGTGCAAGTTATGGTGACATGCATGTCACTATAGGCATACCCTATATATTATGCTAGAGAAAATAACTTGTTTTAGAATGGCAAACCCATGATGTTCATTTGTTTTACTTGATGGCCAAATCCCGAGTAGGTCAGGCCCATTCAACTCTTTTATTTTATAGTTAGCGGTTAGCCCATTAGAATCCATGCATTAGTTTATTGTTAAATTTTTTTCATTTTATCAATGAAAAGGAGCATTGTTTTTGCCTTTTCATATATATTTTACCACCACGGAGAACTAAAAGGGGTTAAAGAAAAAAATTGACACTCCTAGACCCGTTTAAATTTGCATGTGTACGGTAAGTTGGCACGTTCCACAAAGGAAAGAGAAAAAAATTGACACTCCCTATTCTACCATTCCTACAAACGCTCCTCGAGCAGGGAATTTGAAATGGGGGAAGGGTTTTTTTCTCCCTGCTATTATATGTTTTTAATTTAAAAAGATACAACAAATGTATGTAGTGTGATTGGTTATGATCCTTGCTTTTCTTTAAAGTTGTCATGGTTTGAATCCCAGTACATGTCTTTTTAATGAATATAAATAAGTAATTGTGAAGACCAAAATGTCCTTCCTACTTTCACTCTCGTTGCGGGAAATTTGAAATGGAGCAACAGTTTTCCCCTTCATGCTATTATATATCGTGTAGAAGGAAGTATGAGGGAGACATGGGGTCCCATAGATTTGAACATTTCAATCAGGTGTTATGGGCCAAGATTGGATGGCGAATACTTACTGAACTCCAGTCTCTTCTTGCTCAGGTGTATAAGGGGAAGTATTTCCCTACCAGCAAGTTCCTCACATCTACTGCTCTTTCTCGTCCATCCTGAGGGTGGCAAAGTATCCTTTACAAACATGAACTTTTAGTTCAAGGTCTTCGCTGGCAGGTTGGGAATGGCATGCAGGTGTCAGCGCTAAATGATAGCTGGATCCCGGCCTTACATCCAGACCCCCCATTTTTTAACCCTCGGGTTCTTCCTAAAGAGGGGGACCTCAAGGTGGCAGATTTGATGTGTCCGGGCGAGGGACACTGGTCTAGTGACAAACTTGCCCAGTGGTTCCACCCAGACTCTTGTCGAGCTATAGAAGCTATTGCTTTGCCCCGTCAGGATTTGGAGGACAAGCAAATCTGGCATGCCACTGGGGATGGAGTCTTCACTGTTAAATCGGCTTATCACCTTGCGGTCTTGATAGATAAGCAACATGGGAGGTGGAGTCCTACAGCAGTTGGATGGATCAACAAAGCTGGATTCATCTTTGGGAGTCCGCGATTCCACCCAAGCTGAAGGTGTTTTTATAGCAAATCTCACATCGCTTCCTCCCAACAATGGAGGCCCTTATTGAGAGGAAGGTCTAGGTGCACCCTAGGTGTTCGGTGTGTAGGGCTGCTTCTGAAACTATGGAGCATCTCTTACTAGAGTGTCCGGTGGCTAGAGCCTTGTGGGATCATTCTGGGTTGGAACATCTTGGCCAAGGCCTTCTGCGTCATACGTTCCCCCTTTTCCTCAAAAATTGTTGGCCATCATTCGGGATCCGCATCAAGTCATGGCTTTTGTGGCAGTGCTCTGGCAGATTTGGAAGTCTCGCAACTGGGTTGTCTTTTAAGGAAAACAGTTTACGATTCCAGCCCTGATGAGGCAGTATCTTAAGCAGTTACATGAGTGGGTTAATCTGCCTAAGGATAGGGTGGTGGGTTCCGCTGGTACTGGGGATGGTGGTGTGTTGTCTGCTAACCCTGTTTCTATCATCTGTAGGTGGGATGGGGCGGTGAGATAAGGGTCCCACTTGGCAGGGGGATGGTACTCTTGGATCAGGGTGGGGAGGTTATTTTAGCATCTGGTGTTTTCTTCCCTGGGATAGATGATCCTATGATCGTGGAGCTGCTTGTTCTCCAAGAAGAAATCTTGTGGTGCCTCCAACAGGGTGTGTCAGTGGTTAGATTCGAAGGGGATGCTAAGGTGGTTATTGATAGACTCAACCAAGCCCAGAAACAGGATAACTAGGCAAGTGCTATTTTCCAGGAGGTTTTGTGATATTTGGCTGAGCATGATGGGGGTTTAGTGTTCGATTCGTAGGTCAGGAAAATAATAGGGTAGCCCATGCGGTGGCTCAAAATGCCCTTTCTTTATACCCGATATTGTGGCGTTCGTTTGATTTTGTAGCCTTGCTGAGGCACAGGGTGTAATGATTTTTTTCTCAATCAATATTTGATTATCTTTTGTAAAAAAAACATGTGTGATCAAACTTGGTCCTGGAGTGGTTTGCTTGGTCGATTTGAAAAATAAAGATTTTGGTATTTGGGTTTTGAAAAATCATGGATATATGAGGGTTTTGGGTTCATTATTGACTTGAAAAAAACCATTATTTGTTTCATATATTTCATCATGGATTTTGTTAACTAGATTTGTATATTTGAAGTTAAATGAAATTTATTGCCCTCATATGTATGAAGAAGAAAGGAAATAAAAGGGGTGCATTGGTCATAAACCAAAGACTTTTAAATCCATGATCAATTCCCACCTAAAGACTGGGATTTGCTAGCCCGTGGGACCCCCAAAGTATGTGGGGTCCGCACTTGTTACCTCTAAATACATGAATCAAACAAAGGATTTTGGATAAAATCAATGATGGATCCAAATCCATCACCAAATCCATCATTAATTCCATCAAGCAAACAACCCCTCCAAAGGGCTTAAGCAGGTAAACTCTCAATTTTGGTCTCGCTCCGCTATCGCTCAATCGGTGCGTGCGTGGGGATGTTCATGGATTATAAAAATAACTTGGTCCTTAGTTTTTAGTATATGTAGGGTGCGAACTAATTAATTTTTTAATTGGACCTTATCTTCATTTCAAAAAAAATTGCATATTTGAAACGATTTCATTATGATCTACTAAATGTGGTGTCTACAACTGCTAAGCCTGCAAGGCCCAATTTCTCTAGTTTTGCTTTTTTGCGCATCCATCAATGTCCTTGTAAGTGCATTTATTCTAGTTGGACTGCACCTTATACGAAATGGATCTCTTTTTTTCAATCTAATGTACCCGAATGTAGAAAATAGCAATTTGTTTAGGTGGTTGAAGTAATAGAAGTGCGCAATAGTTAGCAGTTGTTATTAAAGTGTATTGTACCGTGTTAAGAAATCAAGAGAATTTTAGCCTGGACTTTGTAGTCTAGCGATATTTGGAACCTAGTGTTGTTGAAGTTTGAAACCCTAGCTTGATGGGTGGATGACCCTGAACGTGGATGGAGCCTCCAACGAGAATCCTGGGTCAGCCGGAGCAGGGGGAGCCCTCCGCAACTCGACTGGGCGATGGATTGTCGGTTTTGCAGCGAGACTTGGCGTGGCGACAACAACATAGCGGAACTTTGGGCCATCTTTCATGGACTAGACCTGGCGTGGAAGACAGGATGTCGAGCTCTCATCCTTGAATCTGATTCCCAGCTTGCCATTCAGCTTCTCAAGAACAGACATGACCCTGTGCACCCGTATGCGACCCTTCTGTCAGCTATTCGGAGGAAGATCAGTCAAGATTGGCTGGTGCGCATCACTCATACATACCGGGAAGGGAATAGAGTCGCGAACTGGCTCTCGAAGCATAGTCTCGTCTATCCCTACGGTATGTACGAGTTTGCAAACCCGCCTACCGGACTTGTTTCGATCCTCCAAGAGTATGCGATGGGTGTTTCATTTAAGCGCAGGATAGTGGCGCATGCTCCTCTTACTATGTAATCTCCTTTGGTAACCTCTCCTTCTTGGCTTTGGCCTCGGCCTCCTTTAATGCAAAAAAGGGGTTAATTGTATGGTTGGTCACTGAGATTACAAAAAACGTTCAAGCTTGGTCACTCGAAATATTTAAATCCATTGGTGGTACTTCTGTTTACTGAAACCGTTCACATTTGGTCACTCTCCGTCCAACTGCGTTAACTTTGGCTGATGTGGCAGTCAACTCTCAATGTTGACCGTTAACTTAGTGACGTGACAATTAAGAATAATAAATAAAATAAAATTTAATCTATTAAATGTCCAACTCATTTTTACCATAAAATAAATAAATAAAATAAAAATTTATTTTAATTATCAAATTGAAAGGACTCCGAAACCTCACCATCTCCTGCTGCTTGCCGCCATTCAATCAACCAAGCAGTTGCACCGACAACACGGGAGTTCGCCAATCAAGCTGAATTGAATGCAACAGTCGCCTACTCGTCACAAATACACCACTAGATAGCTAGCAGTGAAACTCCATGAACAAACCAGCAACGCTAAATGAACAAATGGAAACTGACGAGAGGAGGGAACCTAATCAAGACTCTGCTCAGCAGCCTTCCGCTGTTCCTGATTGGGACTGAGAGCAGCTTGGAGGACGGCGGCAAGTGTCGGGACATCCATGGTCGGAGGGGGAACTGAATTCCGACGCTGAGCAATCGGGATTCCAGCAACGATCACCAATCCTAAACCCTAGCTGGAGGTGGCGACGGAGGCGGGGAGCAAGCAAGGCTGGCGACAGTGAGAGAGATGGAGGCGGACAGAAACAGCTAGCGGAGGAGATGGTGAGGTTTCTGAGCCCTTTCAATTTGATAATTATTATAATTTTTTATTTTATTTTATGGTAAAAATGAGTTGGCCATTAAAATATATTAAATTTTAATTTATTTATTATTTCTTAATTGTCATGTCATTAAGTTAACGGTCAACTTTGAGAGTTGACTGCCATATCAGCCGAAGTTAACGAAGTTGGACGGAGAGTGACCAAACATGAAAGGTTTCAATAAACTGAAGTATCACTAATGAATTTAAATATTTCAAGTGACCAAATTTAAACGTTTTTTGTAATTTCAGTGACCAACCATGCAATTAACCAAAAAAAACTTCTCCCAAAATTTTCATTTCCTTTGTGGAGGCGGAGGGATAAGTCAGTCAGAGTCACGCTCGTAGCAAATGTGGGCGGGCCGACCAACAGGCAGAAAAGAAAAGCCCACGAGTGTAGAGCTGCTGCCAAAATGCTAACCAGAGCGAGCGAGCGAGCGAGGTAATGAGGACCGAATGGATAAGAGAAAGTCTCTTCTGCTAGTGCTAAAGCAGAAGCTCCTGTTTAGACATGTTTTCCGGACAGACAACATTACACTACGGATCCAACTACCTCAGACAAATTCACTTCACTCGAAAGATTGATGATGATGATAAGATTGACATCACCAGCTTTCGTCCCGTCTGCAGCTTGCCAGACCCAACAACAACAACGATGCTTGCGTTACAACAGCAGCAGCAGCAGCAGAATAAAGCCTGCGAACCAGCAGCAGCAGCTCAAGGATGGTAAGAGGAAGGTCGGGAGAAGAACAGCAGTACTATTATTGTATGCAACAGTGACGGCGTTGGTAATGCAGAAGCAAGAAGCAAGTGGGTCGGGCATGGACTGGGAGCAGATGTTGAAGTCTTCGGGCCCTTCGGCGCCAACGCTGGAAGAGGCCGTCACTGGGATCAGAGGCCACGCCAGGTCGCTGCTGGAAGTGAAAGGGTTGCTGTTGGAACAGGACTCGTGGAGTGAAGCTCAGAGGCTGCTCAGAAAGAGCTCCTCAAACCTCAAGATAGACCTGTCCTCCATCATTCAGAGCAAGCCTCCTGCTCTCCGCCCGCGCCTCAGGGCACTCTACTCGGCTCTCTTCACCACCGTCAGCAGAGTAAGCAGAGCGAGGTTTCCCATCTCCATTTTGCTTTGTTTCTGCCTTTGGTTTCCCCTAGCTGCTAGTGACTGATCCATGGATACCCATCTTGAAATTGCAGCTAGACTACGCAGCCAGGGAGAGAGATGTCGCCTTGGTTTGGCAGTTGTATGAGAGGATGGCTGTGGCCCTTGAGGAGGTTTTGTCCGCAATCTGATGAGCGAGGTCGAGGTTTACCAACAACAACGTCGCTACCACTGTATATGCAAAGTTATCAAACGCATTATTTATTCCTACCCTTTTATTGAGAAAAGTTACCCAATGCGGATTTCAAAAGATATAGCCTGTCTATCCAGAACAACACAACTTTCCTTTGCTTGGATGCCAAGAAAGAAAAGATCTCGTGCGCAGAGAACAAACAATAAACACTCAAAGGATTTGATTCGTTTGGACTACAAAAGTTAGGTTTTCTTCTAACCGTTCATACAAGTTTAGCTTATTATTCATTTTACAAGAATTGACGCAAGCTGTCCAATACCCTTTCTCTACTCTTCAAAAGTTCAAACCTCACCACTACCGTCGTCTTCTACCCCAAACAACAACAAAAAAGAAAGCATCCAAAATTTCTCACTAAGACCTCCAAATACGCAGCAGCAGTTGCTAATTGGAGCAGAAACAGCCTTTTTGAAGGGAAATTTGACTGTTAATTAAGGCCCAGTGACCCCAGGAAAGAGCTCCGATATCTTGTTGAAGACATCCATCACCTGCAAAACCAGAAACAGCACACTGTCAAATTAACATTGTCATTTCATGCAATTTGGTGCAACGTCACTAGCTTCCTTGGAGGTGCAAACTCGCGCAGAGACCGGTAAGCGGTCGACGTTACCTCCTTGTCGTTCTGATATTTCGCTATGCTCATTGGGTTTTGCGAACACTGCAACACCGAACAATAAAAGGTACAAAAAATGGTTATTTCCAGAGCCCAAGATTAGCGAGTAAACAGAGCCAGAGTAGAATAATCAGAACCATCTGGAACGTACATCCATGATCGCTTGTTGCACTCTTGGGTTTTGAAATGCCATAGCAACATCAGGATTGGCCATGATCTTCGAGATTACCTCTTCAGGTGTAAGCCCAATTTGATCTGCCATATGTTGTATTGCATTGTGAGATTTCAGAAGAAATGGGACAACTTGAGGATGAATCTCAAACAACTTTCCTGATTTACAAGACTTTCCAAGCTGACAGAACCCAACAAGATGTAAATGCAAAATTATAACTTACCAAACTGCTGCTTAACCTCGGGACTATCGAGATCGAAACTTTTCAAGGAATCCAACATACGTGTGTCCCATTCGTTGCTTCCACCCATATTGTTTCTGAAATAAACACATAAAATGAAGCACAGTTTACATTTCCACATTCCACTCATCAGTAAGGCTGCCACCATATGCAATTCCAACTGAAAAAATTGTATAAAATGACAAAAATTCTGTACCATACAAACACTACACAAGTTAGTGACAGAAGAAGCTATCTAAGATGTTTGCAAAGCTTGCGCATAGGTGTTATGTTCCAGAATATGTGTGAATTTTGCAAATCTAACCACAAATAGAAATAAATCCAAATGAGCATACCCAAAGTTCAAATAACCAAATCAATTCATAAACAAAAGTTAACATCAAACACTTCTTCAGCAAAAAGAGACATGTCTTGCAGCAACACTTATGGAGCAAATAAAATTTACAATCCAAACTTCTTCAATAAAGGCTTACAGCATGTCTTGCAGTTGCTGGCGGTACTGTGGATTTTGTAGCATCCCTGTTGAACAAGATATCAGAATAAATAAAATTTTGGAAGAGCACAAGGTTCAGGATCCACTAAATGCATATAAAGCTTTTGGTGAACTAGGAAAGACAAAATCACTTGAAGTCCATCACTTAATAGTACTTATGCTTGGTCTGAAGTTGATCGAATATTTTTAAATTGTGTAACTTCATCAGAAAGGATTGGTGACATCCGCACTTTTAATTAGTTGACTCACATTTAAAAGTGGTAGGATTTCGCATCTCCTCGGGTAAGTATCTGCAAAGATACAATGAGATTAAACCTAGTGAGCTAGAAACAAAGTTGATGCCAAAACTTGAAGGAAAAGAATCCTGGCAAAAAGAAGCATAACACAATGATGGATGATGTTTTTATATTTGAATAATCCACAATGGTAGATGAGCAACTGCGTTTTGGGGAAAACAATCTTACGGATAAACCATTTGTTGTACAGTTGGATCTTCCATCATTTTCTCCAAAGCATCGACCGATATAGTTGGACCTGCCCCTGATGAAGATGAAAATGTTCATTTAGATATGTAAATTGTTAGTGAAATGACATGGAAAAAAACAGCAAAATGATGACACTTTCCATAGTGCAAAAATCATCAGCATCAAATAGTTGAATATGGCGGTGATCCTCATACTGACCTTAATCATTCTGACTACTCATAGCGTTAAAAGGACTATGGAAGTTTCCATCATTTATTTAAAATATTATTTAGTTTCAAGTAAGTTTTCAAAGAAAAAAATTATTGTTTTCTCCAAGATTACAAACAAGGTAGAAATCAGAAGTTTCCAATTACTTATCAGTGCCAATGCCAGATCTCAAATTTATAGAAGTATATAATCAGAAATAGCTTTAAAAACAAAACAATTGAAACTGTGTAAACCAAAGGGAAAAGCAATCTCACAAACAAGACCATTGGTAATGAGACTACTCTTACTTACTAGTAGATTGAGAGCCCTCAGTCGCACCTGCATCTTGCTTAAAAGCAGCTCCGTTTTGAGAAGGCTACATAAAAAGCTAAGAACATTAAGTCCTGCCACAATATAGAAGCAGAGCATAGTCAGATCTGCAACAATAAAGACCTACTTCAAATGGGGCATCCTTTAAGGAGCTTGTCTCATTGACATCATCAGCACTTCCAAAAGGAGTCTTCACTAAGGTTTCTTGATCTTCCGGAGAAATATCCACAAAAGCTGAAAACAACAAAGATAAGAACCTCTTACAGATACTGTCACAGTCTCAAGTATAAATCTCAAAGGTTGAATGCTGTGAAGTTGTTGAGACATATTGTCTTTCTGAAGTAGTACAACAAAATGAGCAAGTCATCTTAAAGCTAGCTAAACCCCCTAAGATTCACACAACATAGCCTTCAGCTTCAGTTGAAGTCACTGAATAAACACGGACCACACCAGATAGCAACCACGTAAACAAAAAGTTCTCCATAAATCACAAGAAGAGAGTAAAATGGTATTCTGGAGAAGCATGCTGCATTTACAGCCAGATATCAATTATGTCGTTTTTAAAACACCTGCAAGATAATATCATTACGAGGATATATCAACAGTTCATATGACAATTGGCTAGGTTCAAACTTGTTCCTGGTTTGCAGAAGGAAACCAAATTCAATAACACAACAAAAAAATGAAACTATTAGGTGACGAGTTACTTATCTATCAAGTTTCAAAGACTTGAAGATTTAACTAGGTATGTGGTTGAAGTTAGAGAAAACATGCAAAAGGGCCGGCTATTCAGATTGACGATAACGAAATAGCCATATAGTACAATCACCATGTTGTAATAAGCTTTTCCTGAGGAGATGCAAGCAATTAGCAAAAGGAAATCAGACTATACATAGGCATAAATTTGCTTTGGTTCACAAGGACAAGGGACGGTCAACTAATAGTCTGAGTGCACTACACATCCAAGCAACAGTACATTAAAAATTAAGGAAATGGTGGCACAATCCTAAAAGAATGTAATTGAGCGTATGGGAAAAAAATTCTCTTACCGTACTTATTTTTATCCTCCTTGGCCTCGACATCATTACTCACATTAGTGGCAGAAGACTGTTCAACCTTAGTTGCAGAAACATCCACGCTCGCCCTTGGTTGAGAAACAGTAGGAGGTGGTGGGGTAGCAACCTCAGCTGCCGAGGATGCAGAAAATGAAGGTGCAGCAGGCCAAGATGGTGATGATGTTGCACGTGAATGTGAGGTATCAGGCCCAGAAGTTGTAGGCATTGGGAATTGGAATGGCGAAATGGGAACGTTGCCAAATTGGTTATTTTGAGTATTCATCTGGTTCATCATAGTTTTCATAGCTTGCTGCATTGCGTATTTCTGGAGATACCGAAAAACAGGAAATAATCAGAGTTTAGTGATGTGCCACATTATTCTGTTTAGATTGGTACCACATCAGAATTGCATACGAGGAAGCTACAAAAAATGATGTTCCATCCAAGACTTTTATCTGTCATTCCAAGCAGCATCCAGTAATTCCAATTAAACAGAAGGACAATATAGAAAAGGAAAGGGGAAATTTGCTGACTTTACACGAAACAGATTTCACAGGACATAACACTTTTAATAATTGTTAGTATTAAGCTTTGAGAAATAGACACAAGAGTTAACGAAAAGCCAAAAGACTAATGGAACAGAACAGCTACGACAGCAGGAACTGAGAACAGCCTAACCTCGACTATAGCTCTGTGCAATATGTTCCAGTTGTTAGGGTAGCATCACATTAAGAAAAATAGACAGAGCCTTAGTTTGGCACTTGATGTTTGCTGTTGTCTGAGGTGTATCAAGATTTCATTTTAAAATAATTGAATAGAAAATCCTGGATTGCTGAAGGCAACAGCTCTGTCTCACATAGCTGTTCTCCTCCTCCGTTTACTTTAAGTATTAGTTCAAAAACTTTACACATTTTTAAGTTACAAGATATTTACTCTTTCTCATTCCAACTAAGTAAAGAAAGACAACACCCCAAGACTATAATCAGTTTCCCCTACATCCAGTAATTAAGAAACCAAAAAACTGCTTTTTTCTACAGTAAAGGAAGATATGCTGAGAATTAAGAGTTTATGAAAGAAATAGGATTCCAAGATGAGAAACCAAAAAGGTACATGCAAACCATTATAGTACCAAACCAATTCCCCTTGCAAGAGCTAGTGAAATGAAAACAGTAAACAACAACAGACTTCTGTAACCTTTACCCAATCAGTATCACCTCCATATCATCTCGGGTTATGTACATAACCTAAGAAAAACTTAGCTTTTCCTAGAAAAGCAATTAATTTGCCCACTTTTACGTACAATGGAGAACATGGTAACTGTTTTAATATTAGCTTAGCAAGAATGATGGCACATCTATGCTCCAGTTAAATTGGAATTGTTTAACAGAAAGTGTAAAATTAAAGAAGTTTCAAAATAGTCCCAGCTTGTTATGAAAACTGCAATGTTTACGCTAGTAGATAAGAAAATATCTGAATCTTCCTCTCCTTGTCTGTGTTAGAGATCCATGTTGCTGACCCCCCCAGGATGAAGCCTCAAGCCAGGACTGTTTCCAGCATAATCCCCAGTTTTGAACTACTGTTGACATCAGTCACCAAGTATTGAGGTTTAGACAAAGATATCAAAGAGACTTTACTTTACCCCAATTCCAACTGGACCAATGGGAACTAAGCCATACAGTAATGGACAAGCATACACCGAACTCCAATTTTCCTATTAGCTTTAGTAACATTTAATCATCTAGAGGTAATTATAAAGCACGTCCATCAATCAGATGAAGTTCCAATTAGTTTTTCCAGTTTCACAACAGTATAGGATTCTACCTACTTCTTCCAGCATCGAAGGATTCTTATATTTCGGCGGTCCTATGTAGTATCCATTGGATTAATTTGTATAAAAAAATATACACTTCTCTCATGGTACAATCCTCTTATCGCTGAGCCCCTTTTCCTTGGTCCACAAAGACAAAATGTAGGACTGGTGCCAACAGTTCATCAGAAAAGAAAGGATTCACTGAGCCGGAATCACTAACTAAGATTAATCGAATACTAATAGAATAGAAAAGAACTGTTTTTTCTCTATACTTTTCCCGGTTCCGTTCTTACCGCGTGTTTTACGCAATCGATTGGATCATATAGATATCCCTCATAAGGGCATGTTCAGTTGAGGATGAAATGTTAAGCGCTTGTTAGACTATAGTCCTAAAGTGATTCCCATACTGGTAAGATAATAAAATCAGTACTGAAGGATTCCTTTCCCTGAAATGCCACACCATCAAAGCCAGTAAAATCCGCATAGGAAGCAAAGGTAATAAGACTTCCCGAGGTACTAATATTGATGCTTCAAAATAGGAATGGCGATGGGGCAGGTCCGGGGCGGGTTTCTCGATACCCATACCTGCCTCATGGCAGGTCGGGTTCAAGTCGGGTAATTTATCACGGGGCGCGGGTTGGGGCAGGTCGACCCAATGGGTACGCAATTTATGCGAAAAACATTAAAACTATTCGTTATGTTCACTAAAAGACCAAAAAAATAAACCATAATATGATAAAATGTAGTTAAATTATTGAAGAAATTGATGTTTTCACTTATTTACAACTTTATTATAGCTACAATATAACGTAATAAGAGGAAAATCCTAAGTAATTTTACTAAAATTACATGTAATTTAGGCAAGAACGGGTCGAGAATGCGGCGGGTCAGGGCAGGTCGGGTCGATGAGAGATACCCATACCCGCCCCGCCCCGCCTAGGGGATGGGTTCGACCTGCCCCAAAACAGGCCAAACAGGTCGGGTAAATCAGGTCAGGTCGAAATTGTCATCCCTACTTCAAAACTTAAACCACAAAAAACAAACAAAAAGATTATATACTCAAACTGCTTATGAATTATGTATACCTTACAAGTCAAGAAAACTCACCTTCAAGTATGATGCCACCTGTAATTCAGTCAAACTAGTTAAAAACCCACTCTAGCAATGAAGAGTTCATAAAGCTGCATCAAAATTGTAACTTTTTTCTTACCCATGAAAAAAGCGCAGAGAAAGCAACACCAACTCCGACCCAAAAGAGAGGCGACCCACTGCAAAGGAGGGGAAAAGGTGAGAAAGGTCAAAACTATTATAAGCAACATAAGCGATATGCAAAAGCCCCAGCCAATTAACCCATAGGACCTGCTTCACCGTTTCCCTTATCTCTCTTGGCCTGAAAACAGTAGAGTAGAACAAGACAGGGAAAACTGAAAGCTGAAGAATGTAGAGTATACTTACACTTGTGAAGGAGGGGTAGGCACTGGCTGTGAGCTAACACCAACAGAAGATGTCTGCTGACCACGCGACGACGAGGAAATGCTAGCCAATAAGCTAGCCCCAAATTTTCCTGTCCACCAAGAATGGCAAGCAGACCGAACGAAGTCATTAGTGGGAATGAAGAAGGAACAAGAATCTATAGGATGTTAGGCATCCACAATTCACATGCGGCTCGCAGGATTGGATCATGTAAACGAGCATAAATAAGTAGCAAGAACTCAAAACAACGACTACTTAAACATAGAAGAAAAATTGGGATAGAATACCATGTCTGGAAGTAGTAGAACGAGCAGCCTCCGGTTGCGACTGCGGAGGGGGTGCAGAGCTGCTGGAGGAGGCGGCGGCGATGGAAATTCTGGAACGGTGTGGGAGAATCCGGCAATTACGGAGGTGGAAGGGAAGGGTTCTTCTAGGGTTTTGGAGTGAAGTGGGATTCCCGATAACCAATTTCGGAGAACAAGAAGAAGAGGAGGAGAGCAGCGCCATGTTTAAGTTATGCATACTGGTTGGATACAAATGGAACAAGGAGAGTGAGTAGAAAGAGACGATATATTTCCGGTGCGGAAGGTTTTTGCTTTTGCAGTCTCGAAAGGAAGGTTGAAGTCGGGCGCACTTTCCATGGGGAGTGAGAGAGAGACGGGGAAGTGATTCGGTTGGTTAGGTAGACTGAGCCGCCCAGCCACTTGGGTTTGGTTTTTTCTTTTTTTTTTTTATAGATTAAGTTGTAAGTTTGGTCACTCTGATTACTAAATTGTTTCACGTTATAACAAAAATATTTTACTTTGATCACTGAATTAGCTCAACAGCTCATTGTGGTAATTGGTAGCTGTTTTATGTCAGTCTCTCTTAACAACATGAATTTTTTGCTGATATGGCTAACAAAAGTGTCTAATGGCAGCCAATTTATCTGAAACATCATTAAAACCCATCACATATGATAACTCAACTCAACATGTGACCCAACCATATACTCTATCCCAAGACTCTAATTTCGTCTCCGTCCTCCAACTATTCTTTCTCCTCTATCGCCTCCTCCACACCTTCTCCCCCCACCCCCACCCCCCCCCCCCCCCCCTTCCGTTTTCCAACATCGTGCCCATGCTTCTTTGCTTCCTCTTCTACATCCTCTCACACTAGGGAAAAACAATGACTGCAATCTCGACATCCCACGACACAGACAGCTCGTGAGCTCTCTTCAGCAGCCACTCCTCCGCTTTGAGAACTTCACTTGCCAACTGGTCACGTTCTCTCTCCTCCTTAGTTCCACTTTTCCCCTCAACATTGATGTCTAGCTAGCTATTCCATACATAAAAAAAACTAAGCTCAAGTCAAACTCATAGCGAACCCTAAGAAACAAACCAACTAGTTGTTGAAAATACAAGAATGAACCTCTCCGCATCTCACCTTTCATAGTCAAAAGAAGGCTGTTTGTTTTCGTCGTAGCAAAGGAGAAGAAACAACGACTGCAACTAGTTGAAAATACAAGAATGAACCTATCTGCATCTCACCTTTTAGAGTCAAAAGAAGGTTGATCTATTTTCGTCGTTGCTTCTCATTTGCTACGACGAAAATGGATCAGTCTTGCTGTTGTCAAAGGCAATAAATATTTGGGTGCTTCCACATGAGTGGTATCAAATCTATCTTTTATATGTATGAATGAATATTAATGCTAGTGACCAAACTTTTAATTTAACCTTTTTATATATGCTAACTAGCTTGGACCCTACGCTTTGGAAAGCTAAAATTTTCTTTTTATTATGTAGTATGGCTATCAAAGTAACAGTTTTTACGCCCATACTTATCAAAAAAATCAAATACCTAGTCTTTGTCATACAGATCATAATATAGTCCTCAAACATTTTTTCCTCCATCTCGACAAATTAAAATCCATACCCGAATCACTACAGTTCAAATTCGAAAGAAACAGAAGAAGGTACCTCCATCTTGAGAAAGATCAAGAAGGAAGTTTGATAACACCTAAATTGGTGTTATTTCTCCTCCATTATCTAGGTCACATTGGAAGCTAGTTTTGCCAAAAATGTGTTTCGATTGATCGATCATGAGTTTTTGCATAAGTTATGTTGTTATGAAGGTTTTTTATGGAGAAATTACCCCCACTTCATCTTATTTTATGCTTGCTTGATGTTTGTGATGATATTCCAAGTCTTATACTCATCTACAATCTATTAGGAATCGGTTTGGGGTTCGTTCGCGCATGTTTGCATTGCATATGATTATGGAAGGGAGAAATTTCATAGGTCACATTCATGACCTACAGGCCGTGATACACCCACGGATGCAGAAATGGACAGAAAGTTTCACATCCAGACTCACGACCAAGGAGGATTTCAACAGCGAGAAAGATCATAATCACGATTTCCTGATCACGACCATGATATGAAGATCAAGGTCGTGATCTTGGTGCTCGTGAAAAAAGTCAAGGCATGGAGTTTTAGGTGATTCGATGATATTTTACACGACACAACCAAGGTCAGAGATGGATGTCGTGACCACCCCTCGGGTCATGCTCAGAGGCCATGAAGTGCACTAAAAACCTTTATAAAACCCTATAAAGTGAGAAATTAATGTTTTTGCCAGTTTTTAGTGAGAGACACACCTTAGAGGAGCTAAGGAAAGAAGAATTCATCCAAGATCTAAGGAGAATAAGATGATTTCAAGCTTTCCTCTCTCTAGTCTGCATTTTCTTTCTCTCTATGACTTGAACCATTAAGGTTGTGTAGGAGCCATTAATTCTAGAATGTAGGTATGTATTATTGATTGAATGTGACCTAGCCATGATTTCTATCCATCTATGCTTGTTTGGTGTTTATCAATTTATTGCTTCAAGAGAGGTGGCTATTGACTGTTTCTTGATCTAGGTTGAGGTGATCATCCCCTTAGGTTAGGGCTAGAGCACCCATCAAACATTGTGGGATTTGGATTGCGTGAACATCATGTCGAAGTTCCCTTTGAATAGGGATTATTCCCAATTGAGATTTTAACCTTACAACTCTAGGTACCTAGCTAGTTGCATGACCATTGACTGTTAATCTCGTGTAGTATTCTAACAATGAAGATCAGATACAATCAAATTATAAATCCTAAAAATGTCTAAGGTCGTATTCCACAAGGCTTTCTAATGCATAACTACTCACATCAAACTACTCATATCTCGACTCACAAAGTCAATGAAAGATAAATATATTTGGTCAATTTTCTATTTTCTATAGGCAAGGAACATTAAGATATGTTATTGAGGAGAAAAGATCCCTCAATATAAACATGCATCTCAATGATTCATCTATTGAATAACTCTTTGCCTTCTATTAAAACATTGGAAAAGAAATGTAGCACAAAAGGTACACAAACATCATCAATTCACTCATAATTATAATTTAACTTCTAAAAGTATCTTTGACATCATCTATGCACCCGTACACTTAAGTGGGACAATGTAATCAAAGAGGGAGCATATATGGAGAGAACATGGCATAGTCAACATAAACGACATTCATTCTCCATAAATAAGCCTAACTCATTCATTCAAGGCTCAATTATAAACATACAAGTTCAAATGGTAGGATCAAAAGAATTGAAAGATATGTGATCGGGGAATTTCTTTGAACATTGGTGGGCGTACTTGAAGAGCATAAAAAAATCATGCGCAAATGACCCACCAAGGTCTCCCAATACACGTAAGCCATCATTAAAGCATAAACATCAATCCTGTTACACGAATAATTTATGACATAGCCTAAAATAGTATCAAAGTTCACCTTGCACTCAAATGCATTTTGACCTAGCTAAGGTACCAAAGTGAAAAAAGAAAAAAAGAAAATGGATAATAGTATCTAAGCTTGCTTGGAGATATGTTATTAATCCAAGAGATTAAGCAATACTTCAATAATGATAATTAAAAATGATGTGAGATGAAGTATGGCCAAAAAGTTCAAAAGAGCTTTGGAAACATGGTTTTTTAGATTTAAAAGTCATTGGGGAAGAGAGCACAAGAATGACAGGTGCACCTCCCCTTAAATAGGTGCAGGCAAGATCGCGGCCTGGGGTCAAGAGATCTCGGTCGCGATCTTTGGCTTCGCAATCGCTATCTTGCTTCTTATAGGCAAAAATCAAATTTTCACCACACCTAAGGATTGCAAACATCAAATTGCAATATTCATTTTAAAAATTGAGACGTGGCAAGGGCTAAGGTCCATCATTCATCATCAAATCTAATCAGTCTCTAACTTTAACAATTTGTTCAAAAGAAAAAGAGAAAGATATGCAACCCGAAATTGTTGGGTTGCCTTCCAACTAGCGCGTCTTTGAAGTCTTTTTGTCGGACTTTACCTTGAGAGAGCTAAGTGAGAAGAGCTTCATCCTCCACCCTTGGTGCTGCATAGTAGTCAAACTTGTGTTGAAGTCCAAGGTGGAGACCATGAAGTCTCTCGGCCACCTCGTGTGGATAGTGACTCAAAGCATCGTTCGGAAGGTTGATGATGATTGTAGAAACCAAACTTCCTTACTTCGACATCTTCATCCATGAGTGGCTTGTAGCACTCCCCATACTCTTCTTTTTTCCTTCATGCAAGCTAGCTTGCTTGCATCATTCTTCTTCATTTTATCCCGCGTCTTGGCTTTAGGATACCTTGTCTCAAGTTTAAACTTTTGAAGTTTACTCCATTCTAACTCGCCATGATGGGAAATGAGAAGCAACTCTTGCATCTTCTTGTTGTGGGGAGAACTAGTCTCTCCTAACTCCTTCGTAGGCTTCCTTGCGTTGTCTTTCTCTTCACTCTCTGTATCCTTTGGATCTTCTTGAGATACCATATTGAACCATTCAATCTCGAAACTAGAAGGTGGCGGTGTTGGAGGCGTGACTGGATCACAATCCTTCTCCACATCTTCCCATTTATACTTGTGGAAGTGGGAAGTAGAGTAATCTTGTATCAGATCTCCTCCTCACCAAACCTTAGTATGATTTGCCTTTTGCTAACATCAATGATTCTCCTTGTCATGGCCAAGAACGGTCTTCCATGAATGATCGGGGCATTAACACATCCTTCTGTGTCTGAAATGACAAAGTCCATTGGGTAAATGAAATGATCACATCTTACCAAGACATTCTCGACTATACCGCAAGGCATAGCAATGGATTGGTTAGCTAGCTCGATTCTCATGCTTGTTGGAGTGAGTGGCCCAAGTCCAAGCTCCTTGTAAATCCTTGTAGGCATATATTGATGCTCGAACCCAAGTCGGCTAACAGATTCAAAAAGGTCTTGACATCGAAGGTACAAGGTATGGTAAACACTCTCGGATCTCTCATCTTCAGAGGTATGCCTTCACAACCAATAGACGTTGAAGTGACTTCACACATGATAACCATAACAACTTCTTCCATTTTCCTCTTTCCTAACAAGATTTCCTTCAGGAACTTTGTATATTTGGGAATTCCATAATCATCTCCAAGAAAAGAACGATTACCTTAAGTTGCTTGAGAGTATCCTTTCATTGAGCACAATCACGATGTAGGTCACTTTCGAACAATCTCTTGGGATAAGATGCCTTTGCAATGTATTCGGATAATTGAGACTTCTAAGGAATATCTACATTCTTGATATTGATCTTAGTGGGGGCTATCACTTCCTCTTCAACAAGCTTCTCTTCTTGAGCAACTTCTCTTTTGAACCTCCCTCAAGGGTCATAGAGTTTTGGGCTCGGAACTTCCTTTAATGGTCGGCCACTCCATAGAGTTACCGCATGACATCCTTCTTTTGGGTTAGGTTCCGTGTTGCCCGGTAAAGCTCCTTGAGGTCTTGCCACTAGAGATTGAGCCATAGTGCTCGATTGTGCTTCAAGATTTTGAAGTGTTGCTTGATGATCTTTTGACCAACCTCCAAGGTTAAAAACTTTTTTGCGGCATTCTCCACAAACCTATCACTCGTGTCAAACGTCCTTGTGGCAGTGTTGATGAATTGCCCCACCATATCTTCAAGCTTTGTCAAGAGATTATCCAAAGGTCGGCTTTGATCCGAGTAGGGACCTTGGTTTGAAGATGGGTTGGATCTTTGAAATAGAGCTTGCATCGGTGCTTTCCCTTGAACACTAGGAGGTTTCCTATCCGATGGTGAATACCATAGGAATTAGGATGATTTCTCCATCCCGGATTGTAGGTTGCACTATATGGATTGTTGCCTGTTTGTTGACCTTCAACAAAGTTAGCTTGCTTATGGTGAATCGATGTTTCCACCATTGCTTTTCAATTTTCCAAATTATGATTGATGTTTCCACACCAATTGTACTTTATCAATTTTTTACTATTACTCTTCATAGCCGATGCGACAAGATCAATCTTCTTTACTAATTCTTGAAGATGAGCCGTAATGAGGATGGTTCTTCAATTTGTATCACATTTCCCTTTTCTTTCCTCGTCTTGTATCACCTTAATCATAGCTATTGAGAGCCATTTCTTCAATTAACATTTGTAATTAGCCTACTTCCTTGTTAAGAATAGCTCATCCACTAGTGGCATCAATCAAATTTCGATAATCACGAGTTAACCCATTATATAAGCTCTCCACTTGTAGCCAATTGGCTATGCCATGGTGCAGGTAGTTAAGAAAGAGTGAAGTGAATCTTTACCAAACTTTGAATAATGGCTCGTCTTCCTCTTGTCTAAACATTTGGATTTCACTTCTCGTCAATGTCGTCTTTGAAGGTGAGATGTATCTTGCAAAGAACATATCACACAAATCCACCCAAGAGGTAATAGAATGATGTGGATAGTTATTCAACTACTACTTGTCGCTTCACTTAAGGTAAAAGGGAAAAGCTTTAGTCGAATTGTCTCTTGAGAAATTTCTCTTACCTTGATACTATCTCTAAGCTCATAAAATTCTTTAATGCGAGCATGTGCATCTTCACTCATCAACCCGTGGAGTTGAACCGCATTTTGAAGCATAGAAATTATCTCCGACTAGATCTCATATTGTTGTTGGGTGTTATAAAAAACAAAAACAAACTAAAGCAATACAAATCCACAAAGGATAAAATCTATCTATTGATGTCCACTACCTCATGGTCCTTGCCTTGATAAGAATTTATCAAACTTCTAATCAAACTTGTTCATCCAAGCTCAAATCTCCTCCGGCTACTCTCTATAATCTTGCTCGAAGACATACCTATGTTGCTCATTAATAATCTGGTAATCGAGAAGGTTTGCTTTCTGTCTTTGCACAACTTCCCTCAAGAATGATATCTCAGATCCATAGTCCTGATACTGTGGTGGTGGTGCTGAGAAAGATTGACCAGCTTCTTGTCTCTGTAAGTTCTTTGAATTTGCACTTCTGGCCTCCTGCTTGCACCCATGCATCTTGGCTAGGACAAAAATCTTTGGCTAGGTCGATTCCTATTACTGCCAGCCTCTCAACTCCGAAGATTTAAGTTGGATGTTGGAAAATTTGTGCACGAGTCTGCATAGTGTCTTAGAGAGAAATGATCGTATTTACTGGGTAATGGTCCTAATGTACCCTTCTCTTGGAAGTACTCATGTGAAGAGATGGGTGTGGACCTAATAAGGGGTCCACTACTAGCCATGCTGAATGAAGCCACCAATCATGCACAAGAGCATGATAGAATATCATATCACTGCAGAGACCTTGCCTCCATCGCCTCTCTGCCTCATATGAAAATTGGTTTGGCCAAAGTAGTGCACGAACCTCATATCTAGGAATAAACTGTATAGTCGAGTCTCTTGTAATCCTTCTCCATAAAGCTATGAAGATCCCCTGTTGTGCACCTTGCTCCCAGTAGCCTCCAAGTCTATCCTTAGAGAGAGGTCCTCTAGTGTGATATGAGGAAATCCCTAGTTTTTGAGAAAAGCTATCATAATTATCTGTGAAGTGCCTCCCTGCTAGTTGATAGGTGATGGAAGTCTGACTAGAGTTTCTTGCTGGTGTAACTGCCAAAATAGTAAAAAATCTCTAGTCAGGGCGTCAATAGTCTCACTTCTTATGTTGAAGAGTGTTAATAGACCGGCATGCTCAAGTCTCTGCCTCATCCTTGTACCCCACCCTCGGTACTGGCAAATCTTCCCAATCAATCTCTCTTTGGGACATTATAGCAACATGTCACCACTTCTCCACTCGCCTCCTCCTCCTCCGGGTCTCTAGTGGGAAGTTGGTCAAAGGATGTAGGGGCTCCTCTACTCACTCAAGAATCTCGAGCTCTTCATCAGTCTCTAGCACCTCTAGCCCTTGGTGCATCTGTCCACTACGACTCCTAGATCTCCTGCTATCCATGGATAGTCATCCACTGTTGTTGCTGGAGAAAATCCTAGCAAATTTGCATTTGGAAGCAAAATTTCTTGACTCATACTCCTCTTCCTCTCTATGATGGGTTCCCTCCTATTGAGGCATGTTGATATTCTCGGTGGAGCAGTTACCTTGGGGTCTCCTCAAGGTGGATCTGGCCTTCTAGATCGTCGTGAAGATGATGCAACATCATCTTTCTTCACCTTATATCGTCCTAAACATATGAAAAGTTTCCACATTTCTGCAATTGAAAAGATATCCAAATGAAATAGATTTAAATGAGATTAACCCCACACTTTAGAGTGTGGCTTCTTATATATGCTAACTATATAACTTCAAACATATTATGCATTACTAAGATAGTCTACAGTACTCATCCAATTTCATAAAACGTTTAAACACAAATTCGATAGGAAATATTCAAGATCATAATGGTAGAAATTGGATGACCAATCTAGTCTTTGAAAGTATAAATAATATAATAGGCAAAGATGCAATTGAAGTGAATGTTAAAAGGAGAATGCATTAGCTCAAGCAAACGACATTAGATCCATCTAGTTCAACTACACTATAAAACTTGTAGAAAAATTTCCATGCCCTACTCATCGGAAAATTCTAAAATCACTAATGCTTATACCATAAAAACTTCAAAAATGAACATAGCTAGATGTTTAAGTTCAAATTTTGAAAAGATAATATGTGCAATTTGAAAAAATTTAGTATTACCTTTGCTAAAATTCATTCATCCATCCAAGCATAAAAGAATTATAGAACCATAAACAACCATAGAAACTCGTACATTTAAGCAGATTAGCTATGATATAAATCATTCAAAGACATCAATTGTACCCATTAGGTCTGAAAATTGCAAAGCAAGAATACCCTCGTTCTAACATGCAATTCTAAATATTAAATCCTCAATTGAAGCTCTAAATTTATTGTTGAAGCTCCTAAATTCATCTAGGGATTATGGGTACTTACTTGGGTTGAAGAATAATTCGGGAACTTAAAGAAAATTGACGAAAAACTAGAGAGACGGTGGCGACAGTGACGAGACAAGCAACGCCACCATGGATGGTTGTGACATTGTTTTTGAAGTTGTTTTACTGGGCTTTGTTTATTTGGTGATGGCTTGGTAGTATCTATAATTTAGGGATCTAGTTTTGAGTTTTGGAGGTGGATTTGGTGATTGAAAGTTGAAGAATTTGTGAAAAGATTTGAAAGGAAGAAGAGAGGGGAGAGCTCGGCTTTGAAGAGAGAGAGAGAGAGGTGTGAAAAATGAAGTGTGGTGTGAAATTTGGGTTTTTATAGTGTGAAGGGGAGCCGCGGGTATGACTATCACCTGACAGTCGTTGTGGTCAAACCCAATTTTTGTCCGTTTCTTACATCTTTCACATTAGAATACTTACCTGGTTTATACAAAAGTGGATTTTTTACATTTCCTCTCCATCAATACTCTTCTATCTCGTTATAATTTTCAAAATTTTGCTCCAAATGTAACACCTATCAAAGGTGACACAATAAGTTCCTTAAATGAGTAACTCAAAATTATAAACCAGAAATGAAATATGGGGACAAGATGAATGGTCCTACTTGGGTACGCATGCTTCCGATTATCCCAAGTGCTTGGTATGGATTATTTTCTGCTAACTTGATTTCAATGTTCATGTTCTCCATGCGATCCAAACCCATCTGTTTATGTATTTGGGAGGTAGGATGTTCATACTTGCTCCAAGGTCAAATAATCATTTCTCCCTTTAGTTATTGTTGAGAAGGCACTCAATCATACAATGTCCTAAATCCTCCTTTGTTCTCCCACATGAACAATGTCTTCAAACCCACTAGAGTCAATTTGATAGTTATTGTGTCCTCTTCTTCCAGAAACCTCTCAAGTTTCTTTTTAGGATTCTCCATTTAGACTAGATTTTCCAATAGTGGCACTCCTCTTCTGCTCCTCGATGAGTTTCTATTAAATTCTTAAAGAGGGTTGGATAGAGAGCCTCACTTTTTAGGATCTTCTCCTTCTCCTCCTCTTCCTTGTGTGAGCTTGGGAAACTCTTGGATACTCCTCTCCTAGTCGAGATCATTTTGACATCTTCTTTCTCTCAATTATTTTTTGTATCGTTGGTAAGATGTGCTTGAGGATTTTGAGGTTTATCATAAATTAGGAGTGCCTCAAGCTTTTGATCGCTCGCTTGCAAACAGATAATTATTGCCTCAAGCTTCTTGAATATGGTAGGTTGATGATGTTGGGTAAAAAGCTTCCCTTTCTTCAAAGGTAAACAAAATTATTACTTTCCATATTTGTGAATATATGATTATAGGAAAGGATCTTCCCAATCAAAGAAAGATCAAGAGAAGACTGTTGCATCAAAAGGAAGTATAAATAGAAGGAAGCAACGAGACAAGCCTTACAGAATGTGACAGAGCGATCCTACACAAAGCAAGATCAAACACTCTATGATTAGCAATAGGTATAAGAAGTGATAGTTGTTCAATGTCTTTATTTCTTCAATGTTTGTGAGGTTGTGTAGTTTCTCTCTTTAGCATGAGTGTCTCTGAGAAAGAGAGAAAAGGGTATATTGATCTATTCATGTCAAGGTTTTGAGTTTCACCCAAAGGGACTCGACTTGAAGTTAGAAATGAATAATATAAAAACCTATACACTACGTCTCAAGGGGTGAGCCACCTTGAGTTGAGACGTAGTCAATAGGCTAAGCTTGGTTAAAAAATCATGTGTGCATGTTCCTCTCATTAAGCTCTTCTATCTTGTGTTTGCTTCTCAACAGGTATACGGCCTTGTTGGCCCAAGGTTGAAAATAACCAGATAAGGGCCAGAGCCCATCTCGTTAAACTCTTGAGATTTAGTAATGGGGTCAAGCCTAACCCACAAGTCCATATGATTGATCCATAACTAATCATTTTTCATTCATCGTATTTATTAGATTATTTATGTGCTACACGTGTTCTACAATTGGTATTAGAGCAGGTCTCTCAAGAAGAACAAGATGCAATGATGGAAGCTACAAGATCATCAACCAGAATGATGAATCATTTCCCTCTAATCATGCATGTTGAAGGATAGTCTGCAACAAGACCACCAAAACGCGATGGCAACAACTATGCCTTTTGGAAATATTTCATGGAAGGTTTTCTACAAGCCAATGGCATAAAGGTATGGATAAATATCAAAATAGGATCGGAGCAAGTTGAGAATGATATCAAAAGTTGGTTAGAAAAATATCTGGTAAGTTTACATATCAACGCCAAAGCCAAACATATCCTTAAATGTGCTCTTGGAAGAGAAGAGTATGGCAAAGTAGCAATGCAAAAACAACAAAGAAAATTTGGGACACCTTGGAGACCACATATGAAGGTATGTCTCAAGTTAAGACACCAAGATTAGAATGCTAGTAATGAAATAAAGGGGTCGTTTGGATGTAGTTAAATAATGAGCGAATTTGGCTATATTCACACACAATGTAGTAATTCAACTAAATTACTATGTTTGGATGGGCCAAGGAAGCATGGTAATTAACCCTAATTTGGTTCACTTTCCCACAGACGTGGGAATTGAAAATACAGCCCCTTCCCACGGAATTTCACATTATCACGTTTTTAACACTTTTTGTCCCAATATTGACCCTCTTGCTTTATCCCTCCCAAATCCTTCTTCTTCCTCCTTGTGACCTGGTATTCTTTGTGCATTCTCCATCCCCTATAAACAAAGAAGAACAAGAAGAAAAAAGATGGTTTCTTTAGCCCTTCAATCCTCCAATCCGCTACCTCCTCATCGAAAATGAGATCACTGGTACAGTCTCCTTCCTGCAATGCGTCGATTACCGTTGTCGATTACGCCGTCCATTGCCAGAATAACTATGCAATTCTCATATCCCCATTTCCCATCTTTGTTGATATTAGATATCATCGTCACACCTTCAGGGTTGTCCATCCCGGCGCGAACGGGTGCCCCTGCAGAGTAACATCATCCTAGTTATGGTTCGATGGTCACTATTTATCTCCCTTCCCTATAATTGTTACTTGTGTTTTTGTTTCTGGGTCATTCTTACCCCCATCCTAGCCATGAATGCTTTCTAGGTCTGGTCCGCTTTCCTTTCATGCAATGAGTTGTAACTTTTTTGGTTTGGGTAATAAATTGGAGATTGTCTTTCATTTTCACAAATTAATAAGATTTTGTTACATCACCACAAAGTGGGATTGGCAAGTAGCTTGATTTGGTTGCCGATTAATACTCATTTGAGTGTTTATTGATTGGAGCAATTTAATAACTGTTGGGAAAGTCAACACCAATGCAGAATTAGTAAGATCTTACACTCTCTGCCAATGTCTTGGAGACCAAAGGTAACGACCATAGAGGAATCAAAAGATCTTACTAAGTTTGAGTTAAGTGAGTGGATATGATCACTTACTGCTCGCAAAACTGTGCTAAGAATTTAGGATAATGATCAATCTCGCAAGAGGAAGAATCTGGCTCTCAAATCTCATTTGATGGAAGATGAAGAAGAAATAAAGAGAAAACAACACTTCTCTCCAAGAAACTTAGTTATTTGCGATTCAAAAGAAATCTAAAGACTAATTCTGAAAGATTCAGTATTGATAGAAAGTTTGATAGGAAGCTAGACAATGCTTATAGAAACACTAGTAAAAATGAAGGAGATAAAAATACCACAAACACCGAGAAAGGTACTATTATTTGTGTCAGGTGTGGAAAACAAGGTCATCTTAGAGTTGAACAAGATATGGCCGCCACATGAAGTTGCAGTGAGAAGGAAAAGATGAGTCAGGATCCAAAAAATACCACAAAGTTTACTTGGGTCTTGCAGACCATAATCATCGTTTTCTAATGGTAAAAGAAACATAAAATTTTAAGGTACTACTTGAGCCACTTCATGCATGCATAGGCTATGATTTAGATGATTCCTCAAGATCACTTGATATAAGAGTAAGGCTCAAAATGATAAATCTCACAAATACGAACTTAAGGAAAAAAAAAACAGAACATTAATTATGGATAGTATCAGTGAGCTATAGAACTTTATGCAAAGCCTTACTAAATGAGTGATCCAACTGGAATATGACTGTCAAAAGTAAGAAAAAAATTGTGACATAATTATTTATAAAACTCAAAGCTTGGAAAACTCAACTAAAGCAAAACCAACAAAATAAGTACAAACTCACATAAAACCAAGTGTTTTAGATGTCATAACTATGAACGCAAAAAAATACGAATGTTTTGTCATAGTACAAATCACCATGGCAATCAATGTAATTTTGAGGTTGCAAAATCAATAAATAAAATCAAACAATATTGGGTTCCAAAACCAAGAGTAGTCAATGAAGTTGGCAAAGGGAAGGAAGTCCAAAAATCTCATAAACTTAAATAAACATAGCAGTTAATTAATAATAAATAATATATAATATATAGTAAACATAAAATGTTATATTTCTTGCGACTAACTGACGTGACCATTTACTTCCCTTCTACCAACTCTGGTACTCAAGGCTAGTTACTTGTATAGAAAGTAAGCATTACACCTCTATACTTCACTATACTAGTCATGGTTTAGCGCATGTATGTGGGTTGACAGTTGAACATTCTATACGTCAACTAGGGTAAGCTATCTAGGACGTTTGAGTTACAACCTCTCTCTCTCTCTCTCTAACTTGGAAAAGTCACCCCCTCTAGACCTTCGTAGAAGTTATCCTAAAAGGTAATCATGATTGACTGTCACTAAAATCTCTTAACATCTCTCTTCACACGATCAGATTATCTTTCCCTTAAAACCTTTTTCATCCTTTTTGTTTTTCTACAGACTATCTCTCATCCAAAATCTTTCATCACAATCTTGAAATTTTCTCACAACCTTTTCATCCTTCTCTCGTTCAAATCATCTAGTTATCAAATCTTGAACCTCTTTTGACTGTCATGGCAAAGACTATAAAATCTCTCGCTTACTCAAATGTTGATTGTCGCTCGATTGAAAGAAAAGCTGATAATTCAAACTTTACAACAAAATCTCCATCCTATATGAATTAGAGTTTCCATCCATGCCAATTTGCCCTTTGAAATTTGTCAAATCGTCAAGAACCTAGGCTGGGAAGGGTTGTTTGATCTTCACAAACCAAACTGCACCCGCTACTGTTCCTTGATTGTTAGGAAATTCTACTACAATCTTGCTGCTGATGGCCTAGACTTATCAGACCTGACCTCTATATTTCAAGCGTGTCGTGCTTGCTTCAAATCAGATTACTT